CTAGCCCTGAGATTTTTTTTTTTTTAAAGTGCCATATTCAAGGCTTTTTCAGGGTTAGGAGAATGAGACCCATCACTGTTACTGGTACTTGGCATATTGGGTATACCACGGGGAGTTTGCCAGACTCTGCCGTGTGGGCATGTTACATTTGGTAGCCTGCCAGTTTGACCAAATTAGGAATGAGATGTCAAGATGTCGCGCGGCCGCATGCTTCCGGGAGCTGAGTGTGATAATCTTTGGATCCTGGCCGTTGTTGGAGTTACACGGCAGTTGGTGGGTGTAACTGTCTAGTTACTGGCAGGTCCAGTCCCAAACTGTGCAGGCTTGGAGATCTCAGCCCCGGGTCCCACACACCTGGGTTCCTCTGTCAGTTCTTTTATGCGTGAGGCTCATCCAAGTGTGTGGATAAATATCTACTAAAACCCCATACCTACTTTTTCTATTTAGGTTTTTTTTCTTTTCACTTTCCTGAGTGTTCTTTGAAGCATGCCAACAATTTTGGTAGGCCTGACAGATAGTACTGTAGGTAAAGTGTGATGCAGCAAACCCAAGTTTGATCTCTGGCATCCTATATGTTGTCTCATATCAGGAGTGATTCCTGAGCACAGAGCCAGGAGTAAGCCCTGAGTATATCTGATGTAGACTCAACCCCCGCCCCCCATAATCAAAATAAGAACATTTTTGAATGGAGTCAAATTTATCTTTTTACTTTGAGATTATATTTAAGAAACTACTGCCCCAGTCAGCAAACGAGAGTGTGTCTAGTGATATATTACTGGTACTAAGAGAAGCAGAGTTCCAAAGCACAAGCACGTTTCTGGAAAAGAAAGAACATGAAAAGACTGATTTCTGATTAAATATCCATAATCATGAAATTTAAGGGTAAGTCCAGTTTAAAGCAGGGGTCAGGCAAATAGCTCAGGTGACAAAACTGCCCAGAATGTTCAAGGCTCCTAGTTAAATTTCACATACTACAGGACCCCTATTAAAAATATAAAGTAGGAATCAGAGTGACAGTACAGCATTCAGGGTGGATGCGGTCTACCCGGATTCGATCCCCAAAATTCCATATGGTCTCAGAGCCCACCAAAAATGATTCCTGAGTGCAGAACCAGGAGTAACCCCTGAGACATCAGGTATGGCCCGAAACCAAAAAATAAATTAAATAGAGCCACCTGTGATGTTAATTGGATGTGTCAACTTAGAGGATGTTTTTGGAAGAGATTAAAAATAAAACTGATTGGGCTCAAGTGATAGCACAAAAGACAGGGTGTTTGCCTTGCAAGTGGCTGACCCAGGTTCGATTCCCACCATCTCATATGGTCCCCTGAACACCGCTAGGACTTAATTCCTAAGTGCATGAGCCAAGAGCAACCCCTGTGCAATGCAGGGTGTGACCCAAAAAAGGAAAAAAAAAAAAAAGAAAGGAAACTGATTAGTGTCTGAGAAAAACAAATTGCCTCTTACCATGTGGGTGGGACTCATCCAATCAGCTACATAAGAGACACCTACTCAAGAAAGAGGAATTCCCAATTGCACAGACTGGCCTCCCTGGGTTCTAGCAGGCTCTGCTCTCCAGGGTCTCTGCAGAGTGAGCCCACCAGACTTTGAACTTGCTCCTCTACAAGTGCATGAGTTAGTTACTTATAATTAACCATTCTATCTGTAGACATACCCTTGGTTTCCTGGAGAACCTAACATACTATCATAAATTTGAAAACCTCCTGTAGTGGAGAGGTTTAAAGGGAGATCCCACTCACTTAGAAAAATTAAGATAAATTCACATTTACTCTTTCAAAGTGTCCCCAGAGAGGTAGTACTTGTGAAGCATACCTTGCATGCCAGAGACTGGGGTTCAATTTCTGGCCCCACAAGGCGCTTCTAGCACCTCCATGAGTGACTGAGCACAGTGCTGGAGTAAGGCCCCATGCACGCAACACCAAGTGTGGCATTAAAAACCAAATCAAAACAGATAAAAAAAAATGCCACCAATATTTATGGAGCATCTACTAGAGGGGTCATTTGTCAGAACTAAATACTGACAAATCCATGCCTTCCTCTCAAAAAAAATAAAATTCTGGGGTAGGAGGCTGGAACAACAGCACAGCGGTAGGGCGTTTTGCCTTGTGCAAAGCCGTCCTGGCCAAGTCGGGTTCATTTCTTCCGCCCCTCTCGGAGAGCCCAGCAAGCTACCGAGAGTATCTCGCCCACACGGCAAAGCCTGGCAAGCTACCCGTGACGTATTCAATATGCCAAACACAGTAACGAGTCTCACGATGGAGATGTTACTGGGCCCGCTCGCTGGGGGTAGGAGGGGATTGTGTCTTGGGGCCATTCTCACAGTGCTCAGGGCTTCCACCTGTTCTGCATTCAGGAATTACCTCCGGCTATGATTGGAGGACTGTATGCAATGCCAGGAATCAAACCGAGGTTGTCAGCAAGGCAAAGTCTTAATCCGCTGTACTATCTCTCTGCTCCTCCACCTCCTCAGTTTTGTTAGAAATCTAAAACTCCTCCAGAAGGAAGAGGGTATTTAAGTATATTTATTGTACAAGGAAGATGCACATTTAATAAAAGAATAAAGAAGAATGAAGGATAAGGTACTTATTTGAGAAAAGACAAAACTACGAAAAAAGCCACAATACAGTTTCATAAACCTATAAATTGAGCCGCTATAGAATAATTGAGATATAAATCAATAAATTTTACAACATGGATCTAAAGGTTGCTTGTGAGCTGAAAACTATTTGATATTTTAAATTTTCCTCTAATTTTCTGAGATCCAAATATGGCTGGGAGAGTCTGAGAAAGCAAAGAAAGGAGAAGGCAGCAAACACAAAATAGGCCAAGGGCACACAGGCCAATAAAGAAACAGTTCAGCTTGGAAAGGCAGCTCGGCTTCCTCCATCCTTTTGGCCCCATCCTTTTACTAAGCAAGGTGGGATTCTGATGGACCCTATTCTCTCCACCCACTGCTATTAAACCCAGGATTAGGTGAGATGGCAAAACTTAGGTGTTTGCAGATGAATTCAAGTTGCTGATCTGTTCACTATGAATTATTCAAGAGCGATGATCGGTATGGACTGTTCTGTGGGCTAAGCGTTGATCTGGGTGGCCCAGGTTCAGGTGCCAGCACCTCGTGATATCCCCGAACACCACCAGCATCAGAGCTAGGAGTAGACTCTGAGCATCACCGAACGTGGCCCAGCCCCCTCTCATAGCCGCCCCTCCCCCCAAAAAATTATCTAAGTAGGCCGAGGCTAATCATATAAGCCCTTTAATCACTGGGTCTGTTATCAGAAATAAGACTTCGGGGTTTCGGGTTGTTCCACTTGGGGGTAAGGGATGGATTTAGGCCTCATCCAGTGAGATACTTCTGACTCAGTGTAGGTACAGAGTGGGGCCGCTGGAAGGGGCTCAAGGGACCATTTACAGTGCTGGGAATTTAAATTTCAGTCATTGGAATGCAAGGCAAGGGCCTTAAGCCCTGTACTACTTCTGCAGCCCCAGAAAAAAAATAATTTTAAATTGCTGGTAACCTTCAAGAAAGTTATTAACTCCCACCAAACTCTTCATGGCAGTCTCTAAGAGGTTAGGCAAGAGCCAAAAAAAAAAAAAAAAAAACCCCACACACAAAAATAAAACACCAAGCTTCAGTGCTGTCTATAAGATGCTGAATTCTGCCAACAAACTGTGAGTCTGCAAGAGGAACCCCTGCTCCAGATGAGAACCACAACTCTCACTCAATACCTTGATACAGTCCAGTGAGACAGAACACACACACTCTATGCCCTGAAACTGCAGTATCCATATGGGTTGTTGCTAAATGTGGATTTTTCATGAAGTAACAAAAAACACAAACCCCACTCTTCTAAGAAAGAGCATTGGGGGCAGAGGTTAAGGTGCTTCCTCGCCTTGCATGCAGGTAAAGAAGGGGGTTCCATCCGGAGCACCACATACTGTCCTGAGCCTCACGGGGAGTCATCCCTGAGCACAAAGCCAAGAGTAAGCCCTGAACACCACTGGGTGTGGTTCAAAAACAAACAAAAATAACTTTAGGAAGCTGCTTCTTTTATCCAGGCTTAAAATGGGACAATCTTTACCATAAGACCGTTAGGTTTCTCATTCCAACTCACGTTAGTGTGGTTTAATTACTACTTGAGTCACAGTATTTGTTCTGCAATGTAATCTTATATACCAAAACATCCTATTTCTTCAAATTATGAGCAATGTAAATAGATTTACTTTTAGGAAACTACTCCAACCATGCAAAATTAACAGCAGCCGAGTCTCTTATGCTCCATGAACGTCCACCAAAGTCTTCCCAGCACCTGGAGGCACAGGTGGCCCAGGCCTGTCTTCGCAGTGACCACAAGGTCACGACTGTGTCCTTCCCCAAGTACTTAAGTTTTTAAACTCCACAAACTACAATCTTCCATCTTCTGTTTGGCGTGGCAGTAGCTCAGCTGGGCTCTCACCTATCAGGAGGGAGTCCCCTCCGGCATAATTGCCACCCTGACCCCTAAAAGGCGAGTGAGCAGTCCAAGCACCTCCTCATTAGAGATGCAACAAGCCGGGGCCATGCAAGTCCTGCCGGGAATGGTAGTTCTGCCCCCACGACCTTCAACTACTGCTGCGCGAAACCCATCACGCGCCCAACCGGCGACGCGGGCGCCAGCGGTCACGATTGGTCCCGGCCCGCGGAGGGACGAGCTGATTCGACCACTCGTCCCTCAGAGCCGCGGCCCCGGCCCAGCGCCCGCCTCCCGACTCTCCACACCCCACCGGTGCCAGCGATCACCCTCAAGTCCTTGCAACCCATCCCACTACCGAGGGCAGCGACGCACGCAACCCTGCGGCGCGCCCGGTCCGGCACCGCTCCTGGGGCCCGGGCCCGAGCGCGGCCGGAGCCCCCGCCCCCGCCCCCGCTCGCCGTTGGGCGCCCCACGCTCAGCGTCCTCGCTCGTTCACTCGCTCTCTCGGCGCTGCGGCGGGCTCACCTGCGCCGCGGCGGTAACGCCCGACAGTTGACAGGCCCGCAGCATCTCGGCCGGGTGGGCAGCGCTGCTGGTGAAAGCCGGAGCCGGGGCGGGCGTGCGGCGGACGGCCGCGCTTGCGTGCTGCGTGCTTGCGTGCCCCGCTTCCGGGCCGCCTCTCCGCGCCCCGCGTACCGGAAGGCGCCAGCGCGCGCAACTGCGCACGCGCGGCCCTGTGCTGAGCGGGCGGGGCGGGGCGGGGCGGGGCGGGGCGGGGGGGGGAGTGAAAAGAGCAGGTAGTTTCTCCTTCCGGGTCGCGCTCGGAATTCTGGGCGGGGAGTTCGGGGCTCCGCTCCCCACGGGAACCAGCGAGCGGCATCACTCGGAAGTCGAAGCAAGGCAGCCAGCGCCTACCGGCTCTGTCTGAGTGCTGGCTCTGCCGGTTGCTGTGTCCCAGAAGGAACCGATATGGCCGAAGTTGCCTGAACTATGGGCTTGTTTCGGCTTGCGCGGGTTGTTTTTAATTTACAGCCCTTTCTAGAGTCATCCTCATTGCTCACGGCGAGGTGAAGGAACAGTGGAGAAAGTTGTACAGATGTATTGTTCACTGAATGGCTCCGCGGATGGGATTCCACAGCGTCTGGAGCTTCAGCTCTTTCCAGCTTAAGTCATACTGCTCTCGCCATCTAGTTTTTTTGAATGTTAGAAACATTCTTGTTCGGCATTTTGTAGGATGAGTTGGAATATTAGGGCACTGCAAAAGCACACCAATGACTAGATAATCCATTTATAACAGTATTCAATACTGTTACTACTACTAATGATCTTATAGTAATGATCAAAATCAAACACGTCTTTAACTAGCTGATTTGTTACAATGTTCTGTTCTCCCTAGAGGTAATGCAACAAATCCCCCCCTTTTTTAAATGGAGAAATGAATTTGAAAACTAACATTAAATAATTATGTTTTCACTATTCTTTATGCTATGCTATTTCATATTCCACTGACTAACATCCTCCAGGATAGTCTCATCTTTTTTTTTTTTTGGCCAGGTGTGCAACCCATGCAAGAAAAAAAGAATTGGGGGAGAGGGTGGAGAGAGTGCATGGGTTAAAGGTTTACCTTGCATGCAGCCAACTCCAGGTTCAAATCACTGGCACCAGGTTCTCTTATCACAGACTGGAATCCTGAACACAGAATCAGGAATAGTCCCTTAAGCACCAAAGGGTGTGTTCTCTCACTTCAAATAAAGAAAAAATTCAGAAGGTCATAGAAATAGCCCAGTGGGCTGTATACACACTTTGCACACAAGAGGCCCACGTTCAACCCCCAGCACAGCTCACTCCTAGAACACTGCAAGGAAAGACCCCAGCACTGAGCTCAGAGTAGCCCCTTCCCTGAGTACCACTGACTGTGCGCACCTCCCCCCCACCCCACCATGCCCCAACAAAAAAAGATCTTGCCCTCATTAAAATCTTTTTCTAGAAGCCAGAAGATGGCTCAGAGTACTGGAAAGAAGGAACACTTTTCATGCCTGGAGGCTGGGTTTGGGCACCATGTGGCTCCCCAGAACTCGGCTATTCCTCCCTATACTTTGAGACTGTTGAACTGGAGGGATAGCACAGGGGTAAGGCGTTTTCCTTGCACGAGGCCGAGCCAGATTCGGTTCCTCCATCCCTCTCAGAGAGCACGACAAGCTACTGAGAGTGTCCCGTCCTCACGGCAAAGCCTGGCAAGCCACTTGTGAAGTATCTCACAATGGAGACGTTACTGGTGCCCACTGGAGCAAATCAATGAACGACTGGAGGACAGTGCCACAGTTGGCTATATTTCAGCTCATCCAATGAGTCCTTTATATGGTTCGTGTTTGTGTTTTGTACTTAATTTTAATTCTTTGCTAAATTCCTTCACATCCAATACACTACTTGACTCGTAACCATTTCAAGTAGTGTATCATGTATATGAGTGGGGTATCTGAAGCAACATGGATAATTTTATTTCGTATTTAAATGATTACCAATTCTCAGGATACAAACTGAGATAATAATCTTACAATTGACAATCTCTTAATAACTAGTAAACAAAATGCATGTGTAATATTCTTGGGTATCTTGAATAGCCTAAAGATGCTATTCAACTGGTTTCCAAAATAATTTCTATAACGTTGTTATTTTTTCCCACTTTGTTGTATTTTATTTTGTGTGTATTTATTTATGACACACACGTGCCTCCAGAATATTGGTAAAGGTATTAGGCATTAAAAAAAAAAAAAGGTTACCTTGAGCACCTTTGTTATTTTCCTTCCAGGACCTTGCCTCGGTGCTTTTTTTCCTTCACGGCCCTTTGCCCTAATGCCTTTTGAGCCAGTGCGGCTCCCGTAGGGCGGGCGTCAAGATGGCGGCCCCCGTCGTTACTGGCGTGCTGAGATTAACCTCAGGTCAGTGAAAAATTATGCGTTCGACATTTCCCTTCACCGAAGGGGATACGGACACGCATGGCATGAGCATTTAACAGGACAGTAAAAAAATAAAAACAAAACATTTTTTTAAGCGGGGGTTTGGGGTGGTTTATTATTTGAAGGCAGAAAGCTCCGACTTCCCTCTCGAGTGACCCGGCAGCCGCGCGCCCTTCGCGTCGTACCGGTTCCTACCCATTCCTCCTAGAAAACAAACCCAAAACACACCAGGACACGGTGGAGAAAGCCGAGAGAGATGAAAGGCGCTTCTAGCCTTCTGAAGCAGAGGCTAAGTCACGGCCAGTGACCTTGCAAAGACTTGTAAATGTCTGAACTTCAGAGTCCGCAGCTCTGAAGGGGCGACGATTCGGTCTGAGTGAGGAGGAAGTGTAGGGGAGCATGGTGGCACCTCGCCGAGTGCCCTGCGGCTGGCACGCAGGCTTCCTTGACAGAAGACAGGAGAAAGGCAACTAAATTTAGTTGTCCCTGCCCCCAGGACTTTTGTAAAACAAGGGGGAAAAAAAGAATTGAAATATCACTCAACAACCATAAGATTTTCAGGAAAGTTGACGTGACAAAAATAAATGAGCGTACAGTTTTGTGGAAGAATAGAAAACGAAAAGGCCCGGATGTAAATTTCCCAGCCTTTCCAGAAGAATGGTAAACAAATGTTTCCTATAACGAAAAACGCATGTAGCGTTTAGGAGTGGCTTAACAAATAATTCTAAAGCAACCCGTGTAACTGACAGCCTGGTGAGGATTTAGACTTCCAGAAAGCTTCTCCACCCTCTGCGCCTCCCCGTGAAATGTCCTTGGGGCCGGCAAGCTACCGAGAGTATCCCCACCTCCCCTGCTCCCCCTGCCCCCCTAGGCAAAGCCTGGCAAGCTACCCAGGACATATTCAATATGCCAAACACAGTTACAAGTCTCACAATGGAGACGTTACTGGACCCACTCGAGCAAATCGATGAACAACGGGAGGACAGTGCTACAGTGCAGCGCTGTCTAACATGAACACTACCCTCCTTCATAGTATGGCCTTTTCTCGCACATCTCCACGTGCTTCTCTTAGGTAATAGGAGACTCCTTTTGCCTGTTTTTATACTGTAAGTGAACGAAATCACAGCATATACTCTTGTGAATTTCAAATTGCATGTATGTTACAGTAGTTTTCATTTCGTGTACTGTTCTCTTGTACTGTTCTCAAGTCACAGGTCTATTGATGGGCATTTCTGTTTCCAGTTGGAGTGTAAGGGGGGTGTGTGTGTGTGTACGCATGCAACTGGCACAGCGGAGTCTGCATATGCTGAGTCTGCATATTCAGCATTATCTGTTAATGCCAAAGTCACCTGCTTTTTTAAAATTTATCTTTTGTGTTTTTGGACCTCACCAAGTGGTACTGAGGGGCTACTCCCTGCTCTGTGATGAGGCATGGGGAAGGATGTGGTGGGGGTAATCATACAGAACATGCATTCAGTCTGTTGAGCTTTTTCTCTGGCTACAAAATATCTCCTTTTAAAAAAATTATGTAGAATAACTTTGGTCACACCCCAGAGGTGTCCAGGGGCTATTTCCAGATCAGTACTTGGGGCTTGTTCCTGGCTTTTCTCAGGGGACCGTGAGGAACCTGACCTTCGGTATGCAGAGCTTGTCCTTCCTTTGAGACCTCTTCCCGGTCTTAATAGCCCCCTAGATATTTTTACCTGTTTATTTGATTTTTGAGCCATGCCTGGCAATACTTGGTATGTAGAGATCACTCCTGGTCGTGCTCAGGAACGTAGTACTGAGGCTCAAACCTAGGCATTGAGCATTGAGGGATCTCTCTGGCCTTTAGTAGTTTTTTTTTTTCCTACTTCAGTGTATCTATTCTTCACTCTCATCTTGTTAGTTTTGATCCATTTTCTTTCTTTTTTGGGGTGTGTGGGAGAGGGGCTGCTCACACCTGGATGTGCTCAGGGGTTACTCTGGGCTCTGACTCAGGAATCACTCCTGGTGCAGCTCCAGGAACTATATAAGGAGTGCCAGGAATCAAACCTGGGTCAGCCACATGCAAGGCAAGTGCCTTTCTCTCTTGCCCCTCCATTTTTTCCCTTACAAGTATTATTTTGAGTCTTCGATACCTTAAGCCCTGGCAGTGCTCAAAACCACATGTTGCCAGGGCTCCAACTTGTAAGATACACTGGAACTATCTCCCTGGCCCCTCAAATTTACACATATTTGATTAAAATGCCCTATGGAGCTTCAGGTCTTTCGTAGAAGTTGAAAACAAAGACTGAGCACAGGGCTCAGAGGGCTAGTGTGGATGCTTTGCACGCCTGAGCCCCAGGTTTAATCCATAGTACATGTGGCCCCTGGAAGTAATCCCTGATCCCTGGGAATCCAGGAAAACAGTCACAAAGAATAGCAAGCAGTTAATTTGGGGGAAGTTTCTAGTTGGTTTGGGATTATATTTTCATTATTATTGTTATTATTTTAACTTTTGTTCACGCTGGAGCGATAGCACAGCGGGTAGGGCGTTCACCTTACAAGTGGCCAACATGGCCGACCCGAGTTCGATTCCTCCGCCCCTCTCGGAGGGCCCGGCAAGCTACCGAGAGTATTCGATATGCCAGACACAGTAACAACAAAGTCTCCAATGGAGACGTTACTGGGCCCGCTCGAGCAAATCGACGATCAACGGGAGGGCCTTTTTGTTCACACCCAGCAGTGCTCAGGGTATTTCCTGGCTCTGTGCTCACGGATCACTGCTGGCAGGCTCTGGGCACCATATGGGTTGCCAAGGATTGAACCCGGGATTGAATGCCAGGATTTAAGCCTAGGTCAGCTCTGTGCAAGGCAAGAACTCTACCACTGTACTAGACTGCTTCATAAGCACCATTTTAAAAAAAATCTATAAGCCTACTTTTTGATTCACTTAATCTTTCAAAGATTACCTACTGCACTCGGGAATCACTCCTGACAGTGCTTGGGGGACCATATGGGATGCTGAGGATCAAACTTGGGTTCACCACATGCAAGGTCAAATGCCCTACCCACTGTACTATCACTCTAGCCTTCTCACTTAATTTTCATTATCTGGGATCATAGTGATAGTTAAGTAGGGCACTTGCTTTGTAACCAGCCAACCCCGGTTTGATTCATAGCATCCCATATGGTTTTCAGAGCATTGCAGGGTATAATTCCTGAGTATAGAGCCAGGAGTAACCCCTGAGCATCCCCAGGTGTGATAGCCCCCTGAATTTTTTTTTCATCATCTGCCCCTAATTAACTTCATTAAAACGTGGGGGGGGAGAAAGGTGCACAGAGAGTTTCAAGTACTATCAGGGTCAGATGGCCAGTAAGTACTAGCTGCAGTATGAACCCAAGCAGTCTGCTCACTCTAGCGCTTTACTTTCACACCACGCTGCCTCTCACTTTTTGAAAAATTGCTGTCTTGAGGCCACACTCGGCAATCATCCTGCCTCTGTGATGAGATCAGTCCTAGCGGTGCTCAGAGGACCAATGTGGTGCTGGGAATTGAACCTGGTTCAGCTGTGTGTGAGGCAAGCACCTAGGCCCTGTGCTATCTCTCCAGCCTCTCTTGTTTTTATTATCTGTCACTTAATTTATCCCCCTTCCCTTCATTATTATTGTTGTTGCACTGACCCAGGTTTCACACATGCCTGGCTGTGTTGCTGGCACATCTCTAGTTGTGGTGCTTGCTGAGGGCTGTACCCTTTTTTGGTGATGCATATACATACCTAACTGATAAAGGTGGCAATTACTTGCAGCGCTGGACATCTCCTAGCAGAGCTGCCAGGATTATGTTCTACACGTGGGACACTGGGGGCTAAAACTCCATTGACAGAAGCTTGCAAGGCAGGTAACGTCAGCCAAGAGCTGTTCCCTGGGTCCTGCCCTTCTTGGTTATGTGAAATCACTGTACAGTGAGGCAGTGGTTCTAAGCCATGGCTGAGCATTAGACTTACCTGTTACTTTTTCTGGAGCCAATTTTTGAGGCATGCTGTAGATTAAAAAACATTGTCCGTGTCTGTCATTTAATGATTTTATTCTCTGAGTGCACGGCAGAGCCTGGCAAGCTCCCCGTGGCATATTCGATATGCCAAAAACAGTAACAAGTCTCACAATGGAGACGTTACTGGTGTCCGCTCGAGCAAATTGATGAACAACTGGAGGACAGTACTACAGTGCAGTGCTACATTCTTTTTAGTAAATTTAGCAAATTGTGCGACCATTACCATAAACTAGTTTTAGACTATTTTACAACATCCCATGATTTTTTTCAACCGGCACATTCTTGAAACCCACCTTAGATTCAGAATGTACCAGGGTTCCCTAAATGATATGGTTTTGTGGCCATGAACTTGGGCTTGTGGTAGTGTAAAGACAGATGAAGATCCAGATGTCTATGCCTTTCATGACCTGTCCCAGCAAATGTATTTTTTACCATGATTCCCCAGGCATCACTAGTGATGCTGGGCTTCTGCCCAGGTGTGGTCCTCTCCCACAGACTCTGTTCTTCCTCTTCTCATAACCCATTTGTTTCTAGAGAAGAGCTTCATTCTCCCATTTTCTTTGTTTTTGCATTGTTTTGTTTGGGCTGGGCGGGGACGGGGGGGGGGGGGGTCACACCTGGCAGTGATTAAGAGGATATTCCTGGCTCTGCACTCAATGGAGCTCAGGGGGACCATATGGGATGCCAGAGATTAGCCACATGCAAGACGAATGCTTTACCCACTGTACTGTCTCTCCAGCCCCTCTCTTCTTTTTCCTTCTGGTGTTTTCTTGTCACCACTCTTATCTTTCCAGCTTGTCTTGTCAAGCTTTTTTTTTTTCTTTTTGGGTCACACCCAGCAATGCTCAAGAGTAACTCCTGGCTCTGTGCTCAAGAATCACTCGTGGTGCTTGGGGGACCATATAGAATGCTGGGAATCGAACCCAGGTCAGCTGCATACAAGGCAAACGCCCTCCCCGCTGTGCTATCCCTCCAGCCCTAGTTGTCAAACTTTGTTTTTGTTTGTTTGTTTTGCTTTTGCTTTTTGGATCACACACAGTGATGCACAGGGGTCATGCACTGGTTCATGCACTTGGGAATTACTCCTGGCCGTGCTCGGGGGACCATAAGGAATGTCAGGCCACATGCAAGGTAAACGCCCCACCCGCTGTGCTATCACTCCAGCCCTGAGTTCTCAAGCTTTGTATCTCTGCCCTACCATTAAACTCTGTCGGATTTTTGAACTAGTCAGTGGAAATTAGTATCATTCAGATTTTACTCCCCACTTTGGAACACAGAACCAGGACACATAGGACTGGATCGAGGTGATGGCTGCACAGCTCTAAACACAACTAAAAAGCATTGACCTGCATACAAATGGGTAACTTTATGTAAGTTTTATTTTAGGAAATCTGCCAGAGTGCCAAGGTGAGTCATGCTCCGGAAACATAACTCATGGGTCACTGAAGCATATGCTTATTTTGATATATTACTAAAATTTACATATCTGGATGTATTCGCTTAGTTGACATGCTTCTTTCTCTTTACAGGGCTCTTGCGGCCACTGAATAAAATTTTGGTGTCTTCAGCCTATCAGAACTGTGCCAGGAATGCCTGTCTTGGCTCTGCGCTGACCGCCCAGCAGTTTAGTTGTCTCCAAACTCCATTTTCCTCTGTTCCCAGATTTATCACATCTGTCAGGAATGTGACTTGTGGCTACGCTGCAGGGATCCTCCCCAGGTAGAGTATATCTCACTAAACAAGATGCTTGGACCAAAATTGTAAAAAGCTTAGAAGTAGCTAATAGTGTCTGCCAGTCTGCGGTGTATTTTATAGTCTTTGCCTGACAGAGCAGAGAATATCTCAATGCTCCTTTGCCTCTCTGCCAACCACAGAATCAGCAGACAGCACACTGCTGATTTTTTTTAGTGTGATTTCCCGGATGGAAGCGTCAGTTAAACAGAGGCTGAACAAGATGCTGAGCTTATCAGGCTGGGTCGTACGTCTGTTTCTTCAGCTAACAAACACACTCAGCACTGCACTGTGCAGAAAGGAGAAAAAGAGAAACAAGTCCTCATGGAGTTTGTAATCTACTAAGAAAGATGGACAGGACACCCAAAGATTAAAATAATAATGGGATAAATTCTCTCAGTGAATGGAGATAGTACAGGGTTTAAGGTTTGATCCCTGGCACCACATATGGTCACTGAGTCAGGAGTGATCCTTGAACACCACTGGGTGTTACTCGTAAACCCGCTACCACCACGTCCCTTCCCCTCCCCCCCACCATAAAATTCAGTGATTAAGGGAATAAATTGATGGAAGGGTTGCAAGTTATACTGTTTGTTATTCTTTTGCTTAGTGTCTGAATCATTTTAAGTTACTATTAAAGGTCAGTGGCTGGGGCAGGAGAGAGAGTAACTGGACAGGGTACTTGCCTTATATGTGGCCAAACTGGCTTCTATCCCTGGTACCCCATGTGGTCCCCTTAGCATGACTAGGAGTGATGACTGAGCACAAAGCCAGTAATATGCCTGAGCCCCTCAGTGTGTCCCTTGTTCCCCCCAAAAAAGTTAATATAGGGGATAAGATGCTTGCTTCCCTGTGGCTAACCTAGGTTGAATCCCTGACACCACATATAGTCCCCTGAGCACTAGCAGAAGTGATCCCTGAGCACAAAGCTAGGACTGAGCCCTGAGCACAGCCAGGTGTGATCCAAAATCCCAGCCCTCCCTCTTCCCACTACCCCCCAAAAGTCAGTGGCTGGAGAGAGCTCTACAGGCTGGAGCTCGGCTTTGCCTGTGAGAGACCTGGGTTCAGTCCCAGCATTGCATGGTTCCCTGAGCACTGCTAGGTATTTCCTCTCAACACAAGAGCCGGTTATCTCATGGAAACCATAAAGTGTGGTCCCAAACACCATCCCCCCCCCCCCCCAAAATCAACCCTATTCCAATGGAGCTTTTCTGCTTACTTTTAAATATAAGAATGGAAGTGGGTGTAGGGATGTTGGATCATGCCCTGCAGTTGTCCAGGGGCTACTTCTGGCTCGGCTCTGGGTTGTGGTACTGGGAATAAACCAGGACCTCTTGCATTTCTGGCCCTAGAAATCGATTTTTTAAAATTTTATTTTATCTGGGGTGTAATACCTGGTGGTGCTCAGAACTAATTCTTGGCTCTCTGCTCAGAAGTCACTCCTGGCAGAGCTCAGGGACCGTATGTGGTATACCAGGGAACAAACTGACAACAGTGTGCAAGGCAAGTGCCCTACCCACAGGACTTTCACTCCAGCCCCACTGGCTCCAGATTTTTATTCTTTAATCAGTCTTATTGCTGAGTTAAAAGTCTTGAAATATATTTTCAGAGTGGCTCCCTTGCTTCCAAATATTCAGACACATCCGGTCAGAACATTAACATACTGCAGCACGAGAAAAGGCAAGAGGAAGACTGTAAAAGCTGTTGTCTACAGGTTTCTTCGACTTCATTCTGGCCTCTGGCTAAGAAGGAAGGTGAGTCTTCACACTGTTACTTGATTGAAAAAGTTGTTGAGCAGATTAAAATGAATTAGAACTCAATTAGCTTATTCATTGACATAGTAAAACTTCAGCAGAACTTGGTCACATAGCTCAGATATGATACTGAAACACTTTATAAGCCTGTCTTGGATTGGATCCTTTGTTGGCACAATCTGTCTTCTAGGGTTTTTTTGTTGGTTGTTTGGGGGATTTTTTTGGTGGGTGTTGAGGGATGGCATCATACCCAGGAATCATATGGGATGCTGGGGAGGGATTCAGGGAACCATATGGGATGCTGGGAATGGAACCAGCCTGGGCCTGCCTTGTGAAGGCAAGTGCCCTACCCACTGTACTATTGTTCCAGCCCGTGTTTTTGGTTTTTGAACCACAACCACTGATGATCAGGTGACCTGTCTCACATAGGTGAAAGATGCTCATTCTAGCTTTCCAGCCGAAGGCAACTGAATGTTTATGCTAGCTTTTGTTTGTTTGTTTGTTTGTTTGGGGGGGTAGGGCACATGTGGCACTGCTCTGGGTTAACTCTTGGCTCAGCACTAAGGAATCACTTCTGGGGTCATGGGGGACCATATATGATGTCAGGGGTTGAACCCTGGGTTTGGCGCACAGGGCTTACCTGGTGTGCTATCTCGCCAATGTGAATTTTTTTAAACTTTATTTTTTTTCTTCTTATTTATTTTTTTTGCTTTTGGGGGCAACACCCCACTGTGTTCAGGGGCTACTCCTGGCTCTGTGCTCAGAAGTCACCGCTGGTAGTATTTAGGGCTCGTATGTGGTATCAGGGATTGAACAGGGTTCAAATATACAAAGCAAGCAGCTTAACCTCCTGTACTATCTCCCCAGCCCCGTAAATTCTCTAAAGATCAAAATTTGTGTCTCTATAAAAATAAAAGAATTATTTCAGCCTGGAGCAATAGTATAGCAGGCAAGGCGCTTGCCTTGCATGTGGCCAACCTGGGTTCAGTCCCCAGCATTCTATATAGTCCCTGAGTACTACCAGGAATGATCCCTGAGCATAGAGCAAGAACTATGCCCTGAGTACCACCTGACATGGCCCAAAAACCAAAAAACTTATTTGGTAGGATTCTTCCACTGTTTGAAACATTGACAGGATTATTCCCAGCCTATAAACAATACTAATTTTCATAGAGAAATAACTTTGATTGGAACTCATAGCTGTTCTCCATGAAAAACTATGTGACAGTTGAATAATTTCTATGCATATGTGAAGAATTATGTTTGAGTTTAAAATTGTAAGCAATGAGTAGTAAAAAATATAATCTCTGGCATTTATTATTATTATTATTTGTTATGGGCTGGAGCGATAGCACAGCGGGTAGGGCATTTGCCTTGCACGCAGCCAACATGGCCGACCCGAGTTCGATTCCTCCGCCCCTCTCGGAGAGCCCGGCAAGCTACCGAGAGTATCTCGCCCGCACGGCAGAGCCTGGCAAGCTCCCCGTGACGTACTCGATATGCCAAAAACAGTAACTACAAATCTCACAATTTGTTGTGAGATGTTACTGGTGCCTGCTCAAGCAAATCGATGAACAATGGGAGGACAGTGCTATTATTTGTTATGCCAGGAATTGGACCCAGGGACTCATGGATGGAAGGGGTGGGCCAGCCAGGGGGTCCTATATCAGGCACTTTAAAATTATAATATTTGTTCCAGGGAGATGTACAGCATTTAGGGCACTTGCCTTACACATGACGTGCTCAAGTTCAGTCCCCATGCTGTGTGGTTCCCTAAGCCTCCCAGGAGAGATCCTGAGCACAGAGCCAAGAATAAACCCTAACTATAGCTAAGTGTGCCACAGCTCCCGCCCCCCAAAATAATAAAAATTAAAAAACCATAACCCTTTTTGTCGGGCAAGGCGGGGAGGATGAGTTCACACCCAGCAGTGCTCAGGACTTACTCCTGACAGGATTTGGGGGACAATAGGTGGTACCAGAATCAAACCCAGGTTGGCCATATGCAAGGTAGGCACCTTGCTGCTGTACTCTTGTCAGTCCCAAACCCAAAACTTTTAAATAGCATTTCCTTATTTCCGAGCATCACTGTTCTGTAGAAGACAGCAGTCACAATGACGACACTAAGGCATGTGAGAAATTCACAGCACCTTCTCAATTAAAGGGTTGTTTTGAAAGAACCTTTGGCTTGAACGAACCCTTGTGATTAAGCTGGGTTATCTCTCTACTACCTGTGACTTACTAGATAGCTTAGCCAGCATCAACCCGGGTGGCACTGAGGTCTGTTATGGTTTAAATGAACTATCGCTATACCTTTTGTATTCAACCTGATCATTTCTTTAAAAATGTATTACTTAGAATTAGTGCATGGATCACATATTGCAATTCTGGTTCCACACCTGGATTAGTAATTCATTTGTTTTTTCATAATTATTTTATATTCATCATTCCTTAGAAAAGCAATTCCTGCATACATTGGTCATAATGTACAAAAAGAAAAATGAAGCAGGAGCCAGAGCTGTAATAGTAAAGCAGGTGGTGCACAGCCCTTATAAGCCGCCCACCTGGGTTCGATTCTGGCACCACATACGAGATCCCCAGAGCCCCGCCAGGAGTGAGCCCAGAGCACAGAACCATTGGGTATGCCCTCCACTCCCCACCCCCAAATGAAGCAATATATTTCAGAACTGTGCTGCTCAGGCTTTGAAAAAGCTAAGCTCCTGAAATGAACATAAATGTCATTCAAACCACTACCCTCTTCGTTGTCTTGCACATTAGGAAAAATAGTCCTATAGTGGTTAAGAATTTTTCTAGTTCTTTCACCTCGACCTACTACTTAGCCTCTCTTGTCAAATGTTGTTTCTCTCTGATCTGCAATGTGAGAATGCTGTGTGGTCGTAGAGAGTTAATAATGACGTATGAATACATGAAGTTAACCATTCGAGTGCTCTCTCCCTGTATTTCATTGGCCACATAGATTTATTTAGCTTAATTTTTCCCCAGCAGTTCCAATGTAATATTTTTCAACACTAAATTATTAATATATATTTTTTCAAGCTACCCGTGCTTTCTCTTTCTGCTTCATATTGAGAATCACATCTTTCTGAAAAACATTTCCTCCCCCAAGTCTAGTCTTTATTACTGTTGGAAACATGAGCAAGGAAGATGTCTATTGTTCTCTATATAATGTTTTCAATGTCTTGATAATGTTATCTAATAGGCTGGTTATAAGAAGAAATTGTGGAAAAAGACAGCTGCAAGAAAAAAACGCCTGAGGGAATTTGTGTTCTGCAATAAAACCCAGAGTAAGCTCTTAGACAAAATGACAACATCATTCTGGAAGAGGCGAAACTGGTATGCAGATGACCCTTATCAGAATTACCACGACCGAACAAACCTGAAAGTATAGATCAGTTTTATGACTTCTCAGATATTGAACGTGGATCTGTGTGTATACGATATCTCTGCACACGTTAAGTGTAGATGATGTAAATTGTAAATTGATGTATTCCAGCTGATGTGAAAACATTTGTTGTCTTATTAAAATTTAATGGATTAATAAACATTCCCAGATTTGTTCAGGAAAATAAAGGTTTAAGTTGTTGAATAGTCATTTTTAACAAATGGTAGTGGCTTAACTAATTGTTCAATTAGACTGTTTAGTTGCAAGAAATCTCATTAGGACAGACATAAAAAGTCTATAAAGCTAATAATTTAGCAGGCAATGTGACATTATTTTATGATGCATGTCTGGGAGCTCAGAATACGCCTCACACCCCCATCTGTAAAACTAATTTCCGAAGCCTTAGGAAGAACAAATATGAGAAGGTGACCCTGGATCCAAGGTCCTTGCAGGGACATCAGCAGCAGGAAATTGTGGCACCATGAATGTGGCTTGTTCCTTTTCTACGTCGTTTGCTCTGGTTCTCTGCTCGCCAGTCTCTAACCCATAGCATTTACATAGTTTCTGAGCTCTTGTCATAACTCTGGCTTCTAACTTTCACCTCAGTTTCTTTTCTACATCAATACCTTCAGCTCCTCTGCAGCCTCTGATCACCAAGAGAGTAACTGGACCAGCTTTTCTTTGGGGGGAGGGAGGTTTGCCAAGCAATGCTCAGGAGACGTGGGGGCCACTCTTGGTGATACTCTATCAACCAGACCAGGTGGTTTGATGCTTGGATCCCATGGAGTGCTGCTTGGGCCCAGTAGTACTGGTGGCCACTATGGCCACTCCGGGGGGCTCAGAGTACCACCAGAGCAATCCCTGGTAGAACTTGGGAGCACCAACAACACTAAGGGGGCATATTGTACTGGGATTCAGCTTGGGTCCGTGTATATGCACGGCATGAACCCCTGACCCCAGACTCTAGACTCTTTCTCCCAACCTATGACCTTAGCCCCCAGTGTGTACCCCAGCCCTAGCCTAACCCCCACTCAATCCTCCCAGCCTCCAGTGTATATCCACAGCCCCCATTTCACTCCCCCATTGTATCCCCCTGCCCCTACACCAGAACTTATCAATGTGCGTGCATAGGGACTGGCTTTTCTGAGGGTAGGGCCCACCTTGACCTCCTGGGTTATATTAGCAGATTCCCTGGAGCAAAACATAGTTGTGGGAAAAGTTCCAGTTGGAGGTGTGCATAGGTTGGCAACACATGTCTAGCATGTGAGATTCATTAAGTTCGTAACAGTTCTTCACTTGTGGAGTATTTATTGAAAAAAAAAATAGAGTAAATGAAATAGCCTCTCAATGTGTCCTTTGATGAAACAGGAGAGGCTACACAATACTTTCCCTGAGCATTAAAAGATACCTTTGGGGAGTATACCACTGCTCTCCACAGGGAGGCAAGGCAGGTTGAGGCTGAGAACCCTGGGGCCTTCTTGGAATGGGGACAGGCATTGAAACCCACAGCCACACCTGACACTCTCTGACATAGAAACTGCCCAGGTTCAAACCTGAACCTCATCAAACAGCCAAGCTACCAAACCTTTCCAGCTCTGTCTGGAACGTGTGGCTGCATATGTGGCCACAAAACACCTCAAAATATCTTAATAAGGGGCTGGAGCGATAGCACAGCCGGTAGGGCATTTGCCTTGCACGCGGCTGACCTGCATATCGATTCGCAGCATCCCACCCATATGGTCCCCTGAGCACCACCAGGAGTAATTTCTGAGAGTATGAGCCAGGAGTAACCCCTGTGCAAAGCCGGGTATGACCCCAAAAGCAAAATTATATATATATATATATATATATATATATATATATATCTTAGTAATTTCATAGTCAGCCCAGTAGGATCACAACAAATCTGATGGGAAAGTTGCATAGAAGCCTGCCAAGCTCAGTGAGCCTGAACAGTAACACGGAAGGCTCAGCTAACACCAACCAGCACAGAAGATCTTTAGACAATGACTTTCATAAAACTGTTATGAGATACAACAGTTATCACAAATTGACTGCTACTGATTTAAGATTTGATAATTCCATTTGCCTTTGTGTTGTAGCAAACAATATGAAGTACATCTGTGCCTACAAGGGGGCAGGGCTGGAGTGTTGGGTGGAGAAGAGGAGACATTGGTAGAGGGAAGGTGGCACTGTGGTGGGATTGATCCTGGAACACTTAAGGTCCAAAACAGCTGTATTCTGAACAACTTGGTAAATCACGGTTATAATCAAGATCACGACCATCCTGTTATTCGTCGATTGCCTCGAGCAGGCCCCAGTAACATCTCCTTCGTCCTAGCCCTGAGATTTTTTGAAAAGTGCCATATTCAAGGCTCTTTCAGAGTTAGGAGAATGAGACCCATCATTGTTTCTGGTATTTGGCATATTGGGTACGCCACGGGGAGTTTGCCAAACTCTGCCGTGTGGGCAGGTTACATTCGGTAGCCTGCCAGTTTGTCCAAAGTAGGAATGAGATAATAAGATGTCATAATAAGATGTTATACGGTTATAATAAGATTTTTTAAAAACACCTTTAGTGGGAAGAGGAGGGATTGGACCATACCCAGGTGTGCTCAGGGCTGACTCCAGGCTTGTGATCAGGATCATTCCTGGACATGCTTAGCGAGACCACACACGGTGCCAGGGACCAAACTGGGGCTGGCCACATTCAAGACTAATGCTTTAACTACTCTAGATTCTCTCCAGGCCCTTTTATAAATGGTTTGTTTTGTAGCCACACCTGACTAGGTTTGAGGGCTACTCCTTGCTCTCTGCTTCGGGGTTGCTTCTGGCCATGCTCAGGGGACCAAGTAGTGCTAAGGATTGAAGCCAGGCCTCCTCATGCAAAGCATGCACTCCAACCCCTGAGCTGTCTCTAGCACCAAAGATATCATATTTAATGGGTTTTGGGAGTGGGTGGCTGAGGGTTCTGGCTAGACTCGGGAGTCACCCTTGGCGGTACTTGAGGGACCATATGCAGTGTCCAGGGGATCCACCTGGTAATCAACTACATGCAAGGCAAGTGCCTTAACCTCAGACTATTCAGCGAAATAGTCTTATTCAGGAAAAATGAAAATGAAAGAGGAGGGAACCACATGGAGTAAAAGATCCCCGGCAGCCCATTTGGTCCCTCAGTACTGCCAGGAGTAATTCCTGAGTGCAGAGCCAGAGCTATGCCCCTGAGTATAGCTGGGTGTGACCCAAAAAGAAAAAAGAAAGTAAAAGAAAAGGAAAAATAGAAAAGAGTTACAGTTCTGAAATTGAGATATAGGCATTTCCAAAAAATATTTTTTTTTTGGGTTTTGGGGTTTTTGTTGTTGTTGTTTTCTTTTTGGGGCCACACCCAGCGATGCTCAGTGGTTACTCCTGGCTCTGCACTCCTGGCCGTGCTCGGGGGACCATATGGGATGCTGGGAGCCGAACCCAGATCAGCCGCGTGCAAGGCAAACAGCCTACCCGCTGTGATATCTTTCCAGTCCCAAAGATATTTTTGTCTGCTTTGTCTTTTATGCCACACCAGGCTCTGTAAAGGGGGATGCTCCTGGTGGGTGACCAGGTATTGTTGGGTTTGGCATGCACCGAGCTGAGCTATTCCTCTGGTCCAGACTGTATTTGGGGGTTTGTGTTTGTGTTTTATTTTTGGGTCACACCCAGATGTTCTGTGGGTTCTCCTGGAGAACCTTGGGGGCCATACGGAGTGCTGAGGATGGAACCCAGGTCAGCTGCGTGCGTGGCAAGTTCCCTATTTCTCTAGCCTCTAGATATATATTGCCCCTAGATATTTTTAACAGTTCATTTACTTGTTTGAATGTTCATATTTTTAATTGCGAATTAAAATCTTTTAAAAGATATTTTTAAAAATCCATTTAAAATCTTTTGCCAAAATTTCCCAAAGATATATTGTAGAAATTAAGGAACAAGAACTAATCTCCATCATTTAGGAAATGACATGAGATCGAGCACTGAAGAAGGGCAGTAAGGGAGTTGAGGAAGAGCCAGTGGATTGAGTGGTTCCTGTTCAGGGCCGTGGTTCTCAGCACTCCCAGTGGGGTCAGCTGGGAAATATATTGAACAGAACACTTACCCTGGATGGAAGCCAAGTGAACTTACATTCATTAGTGTTTCAGTTTCCTTAATATAATAAGTGAAGTGGGACCAGAATGATAGGACAGCAAATAGGGTGTTTGCTTGCACGCAGCCAACGTGGGCTTGATCCCTGCATCCCATATGGTTCCCCAGCACTGCCAGACTATTCCTGAGCCCAGAGCCAGGAGTAATCCCTGAGCATCATCAGGTATGGTCCAAACACACACTCACACACATACACACACACACACATACACACGACAGTGATACAGATGTTGCTCTATTGCTCATAGAATAAGTAAAAGATGATAAGAGAAAGAACACATGGAGGGTGCGGGATCCCGGAGGAAAAAAAAAAAGAAAAAACAGGTTCCAAAAAGAGCCAAGTTCACCCGCAAGTTCCAGATGGAGTAGGCGCCGCATCTCGCCTCCCCCAGATGGAACCCCGGTGACCAGAAGCCTCTACAAACACAGCTCGAGTATGCAGGAATGAGGACTTTTTCTCAAAACCGCGCGGCCGCTTACGCGGCCGCGCGACATCTCTCTATATACAAAGTGATCAATGAGAAGTAAACCACCCAATCTTTCTCCCTGAAAGTCAGAGTTAAGTTTGGAGCACGGCCACAGCCCCAGAAACACAAGGACTTAATGCAGAACCCAGCAGCTTAGAGCAGAAAAGTGAAAGGACTATGCGTTAATCCAGGCCATCAAGTCTGCCGGAGGGGAAAGGGTGTTGCCCCATTCGCCCTCTCTTCTCTGGAAAGAAGGATGGCGGCCGCATGGGAGCCTTGTGGACAGCAGGTATGAGCCGGGGGTGTGGGGGCGACTAAAACCTCATGGGAAGGGGGGCGTTCCGGTCCGTCCTTCACGCCCTACCGAGGTCACCAGTTGCCCCCCACGAGCGGCTCTCCAGCACGGCCACAGCCCCAGAAGCACAAGGGCTTAATGCAGAACCCAGCAGCTTGGAGCAGAAAAGTGAAAGGACTATGCGTTAATCCAGGCAATCATTTCTGCCCAGAGGGGAAAGGGTGTTGCTCCCTTCCGCCCTCCTCCCTCTGGAAAGAAAGATGGCGGCCACATGGGAGCCTTGTGGACAGCAGGTATGAGCCGGGGGTGTGGGGGCGACTAAAACCTCATGGGAAGGGGGGCGTTCCGGTCCGTCCTTCACGCCCTACCGAGGTCACCAGTCACCCCCCACGAGCGGCTCTCCAGCACAGCCACGGCCCCAGAAGCACAAGGACTTAATGCAGAACCCAGCAGCTTGGAGCAGAAAAGTGAACGGACTATGCAGTGACCCAGGCCATCAAGTCTGCCGGAGGGGAAAGGGTGTTGCCCCATTCGCCCTCTCCTCTCTGGAAAGAAAGATGGCGGCCACATGGGAGCCTTGTGGACAGCAGGTATGAGCCGGGGGTGTGGGGGCGACTAAAACCTCATGGGAAGGGGGGCGTTCCGGTCCGTCCTTCACGCCCTACCGAGGTCACCAGTTGCCCCCCACGAGCGGCTCTCCAGCACGGCCACAGCCCCAGAAGCACAAGGGCTTAATGCAGAACCCAGCAGCTTGGAGCAGAAAAGTGAAAGGACTATGCGTTAATCCAGGCAATCATTTCTGCCCAGAGGGGAAAGGGTGTTGCTCCCTTCCGCCCTCCTCCCTCTGGAAAGAAAGATGGCGGCCACATGGGAGCCTTGTGGACAGCAGGTATGAGCCGGGGGTGTGGGGGCGACTAAAACTTCATGGGAAGGGGGGCGTTCCGGTCCGTCCTTCACGCCCTACCGAGGTCACCAGTTGCCCCCCACGAGCGGCTCTCCAGCACAGCCACGGCCCCAGAAGCACAAGGACTTAATGCAGAACCTAGCAGCTTGGAGCAGAAAAGTGAACGGACTATGCATTGATCCAGGCCATCAAGTCTGCCGGAGGGGAAAGGGTGTTGCCCCATTCGCCCTCTCCTCTCTGGAAAGAAAGATGGCGGCCACATGGGAGCCTTGTGGACAGCAGGTATGAGCCGGGGGAGTGGGGGCGACTAAAACCTCATGGGTCGGGGGGCATTCCGGTCCGTCCTTCATGCCCTACCGAGGTCACCAGTTGCCCCCCACGAGCGGCTCTCCAGCACGGCCATGGCCCCAGAAGCACAAGGACTTAATGCAGATCCCAGCAGCTTGGAGCAGAAAAGTGAATGGACTATGCGTTGACCCAGGCCATCAAGTCTGCCGGAGGGGAAAGGGTGTTGCCCCATTCGCCCTCTCCTCTCTGGAAAGAAAGATGGCGGCCACATGGGAGCCTTGTGGACAGCAGGTATGAGCCGGGAGTGTGGGGGCGACTAAAACCTCATGGGAAGGGGGGCGTTTCGCTCCGCCCTTCACGCCCTACCGAGGCCACCAGTTGCCCCCCACGAGCGGCTCTCCAGCACGGCCACGACTCCAGAACACAGAAACCAATTTCTTAACTATCTGACTTTCAGTAGAAATACTTCCAGGGTCAATAAGTAAAATAGCAGAAATCCAAAACCAACATTTAATTCTTGAACCCAGCTGGAGAAAGCAAATCACTTCACAATGCTTTTTCAGCATGTCTGATTTGGGGGGGGGGGGTAAACTCTAAATAATAGTGGTGAATCTTTTATTGAAACAATCTAATCAAAGCGGATAGAGTGTTAACTAGAATTCATCTGCCTCACAGGGACGGGGAGGGGTGGGGGGTGGGGTTTTATTGGGGTTCTTCATGGGAAAAAATAAGTATTGGTAAAGGGAAATGTGTTTGATATTTGCATGACTGAGACATAAACCTGAAAGCTTTGTAACCTTTCCCACAGTGATTCAATAAATAAAAAAAAAAAAAAAAAAAAAAGAATAAGTAAAAGATAACCAGATTGAAATTCTGTGACATGTCAGACAAGGTCAGAGGAATTCCTTGAAACCAGTGTGTATTCACTCAAAGGAAAAGAGGTAACTATAGATTGTTCTAGAAGATTGTTATGTCTATATCTGGGGTCATAATAAAGAAGAGACAATTAGATTTGAGATGAGACTTAAATGAAGCGTGAAATGGCATACTGGATGGGTTTTTTTGTTTTGTTTTGTTTTTCTTTTCGGATCACACTTGGCGATGCTCAGGGATTACTTCTGGTTCTGCACCCAGGAATTACTCCTGAGTGCTCTGGGAACAATACGGGATGCTGGGGATGAAACCAAGGTTGGCCGTGTGCAAGGCAAACACCCTACCTGCTGTACCATCATTTCGGCCCCCATTCTGGGTGTTTTTGTTTGGTTGTTTAATTTGGGGGGTCCTCACCCACTGGCGCTCACAGACTGCTCTTGACTCTGCTGCTGGGGACCACACTGTGTTGAGGCTTGAACCTAGACCCTCCCACATGCAAACTGTGCACTCAGCCCATTGAGCTATCTCTCCATCCCTGAGGGTAGATTTCGGCTCATTTACTTTCCCACACAGCTGTGGCAGAAGCCACCCACCCCCCTTCCACACCATTCTTACCTGCTGCCTCCTGCTCGCCACTTTCGGGTTGGAGGATGGAACTGATGCCTGAAGAAACAAGAGAGGAGGACTCTTTCCCACATTCTCCATCATCCTCTAATGCAGTGGTCATAACTGTTTTTTTTTGGGTGGGGGGCATGTATGGTCCCCGGACTTCCCCAGGATATTCCAAGGAGGCGTAGGTTAAAATTATGTAAATTGGATGGGGGGGGGGGGGAACCGGGAGGATGGAGATCACAGGAAGGAAACCAGGTCAGAGGCAGGCTTTGAGAAATGCGCTCTAGTACAACTGGAGATAACCAGAGCCTCTCTTCAGGAACCTCAGAATCCCCGAGTTTCTCTTCTAGGCCAGAAACAGGTCGGGGAGAGGCAGGAACACCATGCCTCAGCATCCTAAGATGAACTGAAGTAGAAGGACTGAAAGGCATTGGGACTTTCCATATGTCCAAGGGAAAGGGACTTTCCATACACATAATTTTTGTTGAGTGGGTAGCAGAGCTTATCAACACCAATTTCACAGTTTGACCACAAATCTTTTATTAAATTAGAGGGTCTACCAGGGCTGGAGCGATAGCACAGTGGGTAGGGCATTTGCCTCACAAACGGCCAATCCAGGTTCGATTCCCAGCATCCCATATGGCCCCCCAAGCACTGCCAGGAGTAATTCCTGAGTGCATGAGCCAGGAGTAACCCCTGTGCAATGGTGGGTTGAGCAGAAAAATAAATTAGAGGGTCTATCTACATGATACTGAACTATAGGTACCATTTATTAAACATTTACTATGCCCAGCCCATTGCCCCAGCATAGAGTTGGGTCTGTATCCACAACACTGCTGGTCCACATACAAAGATTTAAATGGAGGAATTATTCATCCCTAGTTTGTAGTTAAGGAAACTAGTTCTTAAAGGCTTAAGTGGATTACCTGAAATACAGCTAATAACTCACAGAACCCAGATCTGACTCCTTGGAGTCCACTGACTCTTTTAAATTACATGGGGTGGGTGGGGGGGGGGGGGGGAGAGTGGGGAACACAGTTAAATCAAGTATCTCTAATCCAGCACTATAAATATTAAATAATTTTAAATGATATACCAAGTCTGATTTTAAATTTCAGAACTTTTCTTTCCTGTTATTTTCAGCTCTTAGCCTGGTTAATCTGTCTTGTTGACTTAAGGCTTTGCTCAGTAAATGAATAAATGAATAGATTTTCAGCAATTCTTCTTATTTGTGTGTTTGTATATTTTGGGTCACATCCAGCAGGCTCAGGGCTTATTCCTGGATCTTCACTCAGTAATTAGTCCTGGAAGTGCTCAGGGGACCATATGAAGTGCCAGGGATTGAACCCCCAGCTGCCTGCAAGGTTAGTGCCCTACCTGCTGTAATATCTCTCTCTGGCCCCTCAGCAACTCTCTGCATCTCTTCCTTTCAGTTCTCTGAATCTGCCTCTTTATTTGCTGTTGTTTTATATTACAACTCTTAAGTTAAACATGCAGAACCTAGGATTTTGAACACAAAGACATGAATGGTGGATTTTGATGTTTTGTATTTTGAGTGTGCAAGTCTTTAGGACCACCAATGATGTGAATGGGTGTTGTTCATATTTCAAACAGTGCTGCACTGTTAAGAGCATCCTCACCACTCAGTGCCCACCCCAGACACCACCCTCTTCCAGCATGCACACATAACCCGCCATTTGAAGATAAGGGGACTTTTTTTTTAATTAAAAAAAACTTTTTGGGGGGGCTGGAGCGATAGCACAGTGGGTAGGGCACTTGCCTTGCATGCGGCCAACCCAGTTCGATTCCCAGCAGCCCATATGGTCCCTGAGCACCACCAGGAGTAATTCCTGAGTACGTGAGCCGCCAGGAGTAACCCCTGTTCATTGTCAGGTGTGACCCAAAAGGCAAAAAAAAAAAAATTCTTTTTTCATTTGAGGGTCATACTCAGCATTGCTCGTGGCTTCCTCCTGGCTCTGTGCTCAACGAATGCAGTGCTAGAGATTGAACCAGGATCAGCCATGTGCAAGGCAAATGCCTTAACCCCTGTACTACCTCTTCAACCAAAGAGACTAATCATGAGAAGTGAAACGGTGGACCAAACGTCTGTTTGTAGAATTAAAATTCACCAGGTGGTCTATTGTTTTCACAGCTACCCAGTTTCCACTGGTGACCTTCAAAAATGAAAATCACACATACCACCAAGTTTATAGTCATGTGATCAATGGGTTTTCAAATCACGCATCATTTCATTTCCCTGCCTGGCAATAGTTCTGTGCATTAGGCCAGGGGCCAGCCCACAGACAGTCCATGGCTGAGTGAGCACCAGAATCCTTGCTCCCTTGCTCTTGTTTTTAAAGTCTTCTCTTTCCTGTAAGTCCAGCATTACCGTGATCTTTTTAAAAGAAAAATGTTAAGACTTTATTCAAGATGTATATCAAGCATCATAACAAAACAGCAGAACTTCGACCTTTGGAATACTGTTATTTTACATCCCTTTGATGCACAGTCCAGTACACTACCTTATTACAAGATCGTTCTAAGGGGGCTACAGAAAGAAACTGGGGAAATATGCACAGTCACGGTCCAGAACGCCAGCTCTCTGCAGCGTGCTGTTGGAGAATGAAGCACATCCTTTGCCATTTCAAACACTGTGCAAGGTGAAGAACTAGGACAGAGCTCGGTGATGGTCATGGCTGACAAGCACTGTTATTACATATACATGGACAGTTCATCACGGAGTACACACACTTCAAAGGCCAGCAAAAGTGAGCAAGCTATTCACACAAAGCCAGGAGGGATTAGGGCTAAACTCTCCAGTTTCTAAGTACCACACCTTATCTCATTGCCTCAGAATCAGAACAGGTGCTCAATGGGAAAGAATAAAAAGTTGTTACAGGAAAAGTACAGATTTTCCAGCTTGCAGTTTGTAAACAGCCTGTGTCTGCAGGTCAGCAAATCAAAGACAGTTGTATTCTCTAAAGACAGATGTAACCTCTAGACAGAACACCACACTGCTAAGCAAAGGCTTTCACATTTTATGTCAGTTCACACACAAATATACAGCTTGTGGAGGAGGTAAACACATTTTGCCAGAATATGACAGCTGCTCTCCATTGTACAGTGAGTGTTTTTAAGAGAGAAAACTACTCCCTAATCAACACTTGAAAGAAAAAAAAAATAGGTACATTTACATTAAGACAGCAATTTGGATACCTATATATATTTGTTTTACATTTTGAATGAGAAGTAATACAGCATGTCTGAGACTAGTGTTTCAAAACTTGTTTTTGGCATAGTTAAGTGCAAACTTTATAGCCTGTACTTATTAAAACTTTGCACTGTAAAACGGTGAAAATATAGCTTTTTCACAATAGGGTCTGAATCTCTACAGCTAAAGGCATTATTTTGGCAAAAAAGTTTCATTTTAAAAAATCTACTTTAGCTAAGCTTTTTTTTTTTTTTCCTGATGATTCTGAATGTTTCCAATGACAGATAAATACATTTTACTTATTTAGTGCCACACCCAGCTATGCTCAGGGGTGACCCCTGGCTCTTCACTCATGGATCATTCCTGGCAGGCAAGGGGGGATCATATGGGATGCTGGGGATCAAACTCTGGTCAGCTGTGTGTAAGGCAAGCACCCACCTGCTATACTATAGCTCTGACTCCAGGTAAATACATTTTACAGTCTATATTTTCTTCATTCTGAAACCATTCATTGAGCTTGAAGAAAACATTTTCTGTTTCCCTTAACAGGTAATGGGGACATGGGGCTCACTGTCATCAATATATAGTCTCTATCTGCCCTCTGAAACACAAATTTGGGGGTTATTTTTCTAAATCCTTTTGTAAATTCAGATCCACTTCCAGTTAAATATACATCTCTGGCAACTATCAACTTCGAGTTAAACCCTTTCTGAGGTGATTCATATTTAGCCAGTGTAGATCAAAGTGTGCGTTCTGAAAGTTAGTAACGGAATAGCCGTTTGTAGCTGGTGGACAGTAAATTCTATGTGGTACCTAACACTAATTTTCTAGTCTTTGGGCTTATCTATGAACAAACACAATCCAAGTATTAAGAAGTAACTGGGTTGTGACCACTGCATGCATTACACTGAAGGAAAACACCAACTCTAAGCACAAGTATACGAGGCCTATGTTTAGGCTTGGCTCTCAAGGGAAGAGTAGCCACCTTTAGACCAAAACGCTATTGACATCAGACCCTTCTTTCCGGGAAACTTCCCAACCTAAACAGTGAGTCCCCTCAGATCATGCTTTATTTGACTAAACAAGCGAGGCTTGTGTTAAACACCCATGAAGACCCAGGCATGCCCAAGTGGGAGACCTTGCTCCTTCACACTCTACCCAAATCTGACAGGGAACAAACAGGTGTGTGAAGGTTCCAGCTGCCTGAGGAGCAGGGCCACTGGTCACAGCCATAAAGACCTCTGAGACCTTGCTAGTAGCCAACATGTGCACTGCCTGGCGCCTGTCCCGATGTTTTCCACAGCGTATCTCAGAGTTCTAATGTTGGTTGGGTTTTTTCTTAGTGTCTGTAAAACAAGGCATCCAGGTCACAGGGTCCCACTCCAGGGGAATTAGTCATGGCACTGGTTACTGGGAAGGAGAAATCATCACTGAAATGTCAAGCACTCTGGAAACACTTGACATGACTTCTAACAACAACTTGTAAATCCCCAAGAAATTTGACCAAGGGTGAGATCTACCTGCTGAGACAAAAGGAAGTGCTCTGGGGGAGTTTGTAATCCTAAATCCAAAGGGAGATCCAGAACCACACTTTCCTGTATTTCTTCTCTCTCTTTTCTCATTCCCAGCTGTTTCCCAACCTCCTCACACTCATTTTTGTTGCTAAACTGTTTCTCCACTCTAAACTTCTCTCTGTATGGACAGAGTTGTCAAAAAAAAAAAAAGTGGACCATTGTCCTGCAGAAAAAGAGATAGTTTCCTGCGGTAATATTAGGAAGCCTTGTAAGCACATCCGAGACATTTGCTAGGCTCGAAATAACATTTTTACACTTTGCAGTGTTGCTGTTTCCTTACATGGCAGAACCTCTGGCAGCCCTTGCAAATCCATTCTGTTAAGCCAAAAGCCATAAATATGTACATCATAGTCCAAAGTATTAGTACCAAGAACAATAACAACAACAACAAAAAAGTTTTTAAAAAATTGCTTTGCATTTACAGGACTGAAAACAAAGTATGCAACATATAAAGTACAAATATACATCTCAGCAGTGCGGGGAGTCTCTAAAATCTGCTGTCTGCGATGACAAACCAATTGTGGAAAATTACAAACCTCAGAAGACTCAAAGGTCACACCCTACACACATCTTACCTTTCCTTCTAGCTTCTCCCCAGCAAATAAAGAAAAGGAAAGGGGGGGGGGTCCTTAAAGTGTTGGGGGGAGGCGGAAAGGCCATGTGTGAGGCTGCGCATGAAACACACCAGCTTGCAGATGTCTATGTTCATAAATAGCTCTTTAAGGCAGAGGAGAAACGTTCCGTGGATCCTGTGTTGTTGGTTCATCTCACTCACGTGGTTTCAGTGGCCGAGGATGAGGTACTTTTCTTCCTGAAGCGAGATCGAAGGAGTCTAGGCGGTGCCTAGCAGAGAAAACAGAAAAGGGGATTCCTCAGTTTGGCAGGAACACAGAATCTCTTGAGGGCGGCACCCAGACCCGGAGTGTGGGGAAATCCAGCTCCTTTGGCCAACCATGTGAGACAGCTGGTCAGGCCCAGGCGGGCCCTGAGCTCTCACCACAGAAACCACAAGATACTTCCCAAGCCTTCCCAAGCCCAGTGACATGTCCGGCACCGCCCACATCCTAGGACCTCCCGAGGAAAGGTTGCGAGGAAGGTGACACATATTTCTTGATTCTGCCTGGGGTCAAAAACGCTTTGAACCAGTGCCTCAGTGAAGAGAGGGGAGCCTTTCCACCTCTCCATCTTGGTTATTTCTTTGGAGTACTGGCCCTCCTTTTCTTGGTATATGCTTCACATTTTCCTGGCCAACTTTCCAGTCCTCTGTATGTGAAGTCCTTTCAGGCAGAGTAAATCTTACAGCAAGAGGTAACACTGTCATCATGTTTAAATCTCCCCTTGTTTCAATCTCCCCTAAATACTATTAAGGAGCCCCTCCCACCATGGCACCACCAGCTCCAGGAGGCATTACCATTATGGTGAAGGAAAAGGAAATTTTTTACCCCAACAGGTATTCAGGAGGGTCCGTACAACTTGTCCCAACCTCCCTCAACCCCCATCTGTGCCTTCTTTAAATTCAGCTTTTTCCTACACTGCCCTTTCGTGCCTTACTTCTGTCCAGAAGCCCCTTCCTCCTTTCTTTGTGCCATTTCTAGTCCTCTATGTTAAAACCACATTTTTTTAACACCCAACAATACCAAGATTATTTGGATTCAGAATAAAAAGAGCATTTGACAGTGGTTAGATGTGTTTATTCTCATCAATTTTAAAACTGCCGGAGGACAAATCACCAGGTAATTTTACATTATTTCTTCGAGTCTGGGATTTCCCGATGACTTCGGATTTGGGTTCTTCCATGTGTAGCAGGGGAACATAGCCATGTCTGCTTTGCCATACATTTGTTTACGCCTTAAGTGCTCCCTATCCGGCTCTGGCCAGTACTCGGGGTCAGTACCCACAGGTCTTCCGGGCCACTGTGGTTCAGTTCTGTATTCTCTAATCTTGCTCGTGAAGGTTCTCTCTACAGGAGCAAGTTCCTGATTAAATGGCACTGCGGTGACACCAGTGTTCCTCCTCACATGGACTGAGACTGCAGACTGAATGAGAGAGGAGAACCTGAAGGGGCGCCCACCGGGACCCTGTGCTCAGACCCCCACCCAGCACCAAAGCCGCTGCACCTTTGTTCTACACTGGCTTCACCCACAGCCCCTGAATGCCCTTGCTCTGCCCCATGACCCCCACCCCTCATGAAAACTTCCAGAGATAAGTGAAAGAAGAGATAGCAAGACCTATCTTTTTACTTTGTTTTCTTCTACTTTAATTAATTAATGAATTTAGTCATCTGCTTCAGGCTGCTTATTTATTTTTTTATATTTTTGGCCCATACCCCCAAATGTCGGCCATGTTGGCTGCGTGCAAGGCAAACGCCCTACCGCTGTGAGTCATAGCACAGCGGTAGGGCGTTTGCCTTACACGCAGCCAACCTGGCTGACCCAAGTTCGATTCCTCCGCCCCTCTCAGAGAGCCCGGCAAGCTACCGAGAGTATCTCGCCCGCACAGCAGAGCCTGGCAAGCTCCCCGTGACGTATTCGATATGCCAGACACAGTAACAACAAAGTCTCCAATGGAGACGTTACTGGGCCCGCTCAAGCAAATCGATGATCAACGGGAGGGCCTTTACTTTACTTTACTTTTACCCCCAAATAGGGCTGGAGCGATTGCACAGCAGGTAGGGTGGTTGCCTTGCATTCGGCCAATCAGGGTTTGATTCTTCCATCCCTCTCAGAGAGCCCAGCAAGCTACTGAGAGTATCCTGCCCGCATGGCAGAGCCTGGCAAGCTCCCCGTGGTATATTCGATATGCCAAAATCAGTAACAAGTCTCACAATGGAGACAGGACTGGTGCCCGCTCGAGCAAATCGATGAACAATGGGAGGACAGTGCTACCCCCAAATAAGAGAATTCTCAGCAGTGAACCCTGGTGGTGCTCAGGGATTCTAACCAGGGTCCACTGACTTGGGATGCAAGGTGAGCACCAACCCCCCAGTTGTCCTATTTCTGTGGCTCACCTCAGGCAATTTAACTATAAAGTGTAAAACCGCTTGAGTCACATGGAAAAAAGAAAAAAGAATTTTTTTTTTTTGCACAAACTCCTAGGCCCTAAAATATGTGGGGCCTCTTTCCTGCCCTGGAAGCTGGGCCTCTCTTGACTTGGGGGGAGGGGAAGGTTGCCTGGGCAGTCATGGACTCCACAGGCAGAGTTCAAATCCCTGGAATCTTTTTCCAACACTGACCCATGTGGTGTGCCTCCCTCGGAAGAAACTGGTGTCCCCAGCGCACTGCAGTGATCACAATGAGGGCGGCAGGGTATACCGGGGAGACAGATGAGAGGGCACTGTATCTGCTCCAAGGGAGGCCATGGGGGACCATGCAGTGACTGGGAGATAACTGAAAGTTCCTCCACAAAAACTACAGGCTCACTGAGCTCTCCCCTGCACGGTCATTTTACTTATTTGGGTTTTGGGCTACACCGGTTGGTGCTCAGGGACCACACACCTGGCTCTCTGGTGCTCAGGGGACCATAGGCAGTGCCAGGATTTGAACCAGGGAGGCTGCCAGAGCCAGCTGCTGGGCATGTGCCATAACTTTTGAATTCTCTCTCCTGCCCTGGATCAACCATGCTAGAGAACTATGCTCCTTTATCAGTAATTATCCGATTCTCTCCTTTGTATCAGGCAAGATGCCGTATCTCAGCAACATGGCTTCACTTATACTTGTCAAATCACACAGTCCAAGTTTTGGGGGTTTCCCCCCCCCCCCCCCCCGCCAAACACCCAGGTGGACTGCTTTTCATTTACATCAGCTTAGGATAGGAGTTGCTTTTGGTTTTGTGTCACATTCTAGAAGTTTTATCATCTCCTGTTTTTAAGTACAACTCACAGGGTTATTTTCTCCCAGTGGCAAGTCAGCTACTTAGTCCCTGGTGCTGCCCTCTTTATTTATCTTGTTTGGGGGCCATACCCAGTGGTGCTCAGAGCTACTCCTGGCTCTGTGCTCAGGGATCACTCCTGAAAGGGCTTGTGGGAATATATGGGGCGTGGGATCAAACCCGGGTCAGCTTCATGCAAGGCAAATGCCCTACCTACTGAACTATCACTCCAGCCTCAGTCCTGCCTTTTTGATGGAGGGAGAATCTTCTCACTCCGAGTTCTTATGAGATGTTTGGTGCCCCAAGAGAAGCCGCTCCCAGGACCTCCAGCTCTCTGGCGTGGAGCCCTTCTGCACACACATGCACTCTGCCCCACAGCCCCAGACACCGTGTACCTCCAGTGGTGGCACCGTCTTTCGAGTTGTCTTATACTTGTACATGAACTCCAGCAGGTCTTCCTCTTCCTCGTCAGAAAACGCCAATGGCTTTTGGACCTGGTGGGGCTCCCATGCCTTCACACCACCCTCATTCACATCTCCCTCAACCACTTAGTGTCCATTTACAATCTACACAGGAGACAAAGCACAGCGGCGTGGTGTCAGCATTGAAAGGAGCCAGGAGAGGCCGGCACGGGGGTTAGGCACACAGCACCACAAGCTCGGGCTTGTTAGAACAGCTGCGGCCCAGAAGTCTGGAGAAGCAGCCAGGACAACCAGTGCCCTTCTCTGCTGGGTCTCCCTGCAGTGGGGATGTAGGAGTTTGAGGGTCCAGCTGCCAACTGGCGACACTCTGCACACAGAAACCAACACAGCTGCAGAATCCAGAGGGGCGCACCTGCGGAGGTTGGGGTGCAACATCCTCAAGAGAAAATGTTGCTTTAACCCAGATGTGTCAATCTTGCAGCTGATGTCTGTGATCCACACCAGAAGGAAGAATCTGTTTCTTCCCCACCTCTGGAGTCTAGGTCCAACCCAGGGTTCCACACATGCAAAGCATGTGCTCTACCTCTAAGCTACAGCCCTGACCCCCAAGAAGCTCTCTTATAAAGGAGCACGCGCCAGGGACTTCAAGAGGACCACATGATAACAGCACTGTGCTGGTGGTACCTCTGAGGCTGCTTACTCAGTTCCAAGCATTAAGAGACAGGATATAAAAATGCCAGGAAGTTTGTAGAGAGAACATTAAACAACGCTCCAGAGATGTTTCCTCTCAAAGGCCAAGTCCTTGAGAGAGAGGAGTCCAGTGGGAAGGAGAATTCCAGAAAGACAGCCAGATTTCTCTTTGAATCTGCCTTGACTAAAGCACAGGAAAGCTCCAGAATGAATTCACTTCACTGAAAGCGCTGTAACTCTCAATGTTCAGAACTTAAGCCTATTTATTATATGCTACCTGGCCAGTTAGGCCTATCTTAATCAATATAGACAGAATTTCCTGCCCTATAAGCTTATCCACACCCACAGACAGAACTTTCTAGACTAGACAATATAGGGTTAGGGCGCCCTTAGATCCCTAGGTGTCCACCCTTCGACCCTCTCTCCCCCAGCCCACAGGTGTGCAGATAGAAATCAGAGTTCTTTCTGCAGTAGCCTGCTAATATTCCTCAAGAACATGTTCAGCCACCAAAAATGCTTTCTCCTAACTACAGGGGACAGCAAAACTACCAGAATACCACTGATTGTGGGAGTGGCTTTCATGAAACTACCCACCACCTCATCTCTGACTGCATGGACGGTTATTGCTCCAACAGCCAGCAGGAGGCAGCACCAGAGCGTTTCTGTCAACTCTGATTCTTCAAAGCCGCCCTGAAGGCTGCGGGTGAATGGTTAAAGGTTCAAGTCAGACACCATTAACCTTCCTTTGACCTCTTTGCTCTGAGCATACCCAGCCTACTTACTCCAGGGTTAGGCCCTCTCCTGGGCCCTTCCCCTGCCCAAACAGCTGTCCACTTAAGACTGCTGACCATGAAGGCTGCCCCTCCCCCCACACACACACTCTGCTCTTGGGCAAGGACACTATCACAACTGCCACCTGCAAACCTGAGACCATGGCATCAAGGCCTTGATCCCCAGAACCATGACCCCCAGCACGTGGTCTCTGGCAGAGGGCCCAGACGTGCGAATGTGTGGCCTTGGCTGACATTCTGTCTTAGCCAGCGAGTCAGGGAGGCCACGGAGGCTGGAAAGCAGTTTCGCCTCCTTCAACATGGACTGGACAACTCGCTGGGTCTTTTATGTATCTGCTTGTTTGGGGGGCTCCAAAGCTGTGCTCAGGAAGCCCAGGGCTCCCACTTGTTCATAATTCTCTTGCCAACAAGGTGGTTGATTTAGCTCAAGGGCCCAAGAACATAACAAAGCTTGCATCCTGCAGTGCTGAGGATACCCAAGTCCCAACCTGGGTGCGGGGGGCCTCCTTGGACACACCAAGCAGTGCTGGGGTCTACTGGGCTCCACTCAAGGATGCTTGCGGGGACACGATGTGCTGGGAAATGAACCCAGGTTAGGAATATCCACTGTAATATCTCTCAGCTTGAGTCCTTCATTTTTCTTATCCTATCCTTCTTTATTAATTTGTGTTTGGGGGTCATACATGCAGATGCTCAGGGGCTACTCCTACCTTCGTGCTCAGGGGCTGCTTCTGTGGTGTTCAGGGGATCACACAGTGCTAGGGAGCAAACTCTGGCCTTTTGCATGCAAAGCCTACAACTCTGAAATATTGGGTTATTTTCCCCACCTCAGATCTGAGTTCTTTAAAGGCCTCCCCATGCCTGGTGCAGCAGAAACACATCCCCACCCACCCCTCAAATTAGCAAACACATCCCCCACCGCACACATTAGTGGGAGCCTGTTAATAAGAGTCAGCAAATAGGGCTGAGGCAGAGCACACCCCTCACGCCCCCCGGGACCACTTACGTCCACATCCCCGACAGACAAACAGCCACCGAGGAAAAAAGAAAAGAATGTTTCGTTAGGGAAGGGGTCTTTGGGGATGAATCAAACATTCATGAATGTAAGTGCGCAGGCACGCCCTGCCCACGCGGCCCGCCCACGCACCGCACTCCCAAATCTCTAAGGGCTTCTGAAGCTAGCTGACTGCCAGCTCAGAGCCTGCCTGGCATTCCCCCAAATCAAATGCAGCGCTCTCTCTCTCTCTCTCTCTCTCTCTCTCTCTCTCTCTCTCTCTCTCTCTCTCTCTCTCTCTCTCTCTCTCTCTCATGACTTTGCTTTCTTTAAATTATGCCCCATACACTTGATTTTTTTTAAAAAATGGAGCCTCATCCTACCACTTCTATGACTAAATTCTAGGCAATAATTAGCAACAGAATTCAGCATTGTGTTTATGACAGGTCAGTAGAGGGGAGGGCAGGGAGAAGGGTCCTAGCAGTGGATGGGAGAAGGAATTAATAGCTACAGAGAAAAAGAAAGCCAGGACAGGAGGAAATAGCTGCGAACCAACTGACAGAGGGATAGGAATGGAGCAGAAGCGGGGACAGAACGTTCTCTGGGCATCCGCATTGCACAGATCAATACCATTTCCCAGAACATCAGGAGGGTCCCCCACCCAACTAGAGCAGAAATGAGTGGTCTCCTGAAATCCTCTCCTGGCATGGCTGCCTGGGGGCTGGCCTCCAGTCCTGGGGGGTGTGACAGGGTCACACCCTGCCACCACACATACACACCACCATTGAGGCCCCCTCACAATGCAGCTCCCAAAGCAGCAGATGCTGAAAAAACCCAAAGGGCACTGAGCCTGCCCACCTGCTCCAGAGGCATTTCTGAGCCCCAGAGCTGATAGTGGGGGAGGGTGGCTCATCATTTGAACCAGTTGGCTTGCAAGCCCATTAGATGGGGGAGAAATTCAGGACTCCTAACAGGCAGGTCTGTAGCAGAGACCCCACACACACCTGCTGCCCACTCTCCACTCCCCTCTAGGATGAGCAACCAGAGCTGCCCCTTGAAGCCAGGACCCAGCCTGGCCTCATGGCTCCCTGGGAGACCAAACTCAGCAGGGAGCATGGATACACCCTGAAAACCAACAGAAGGAGGAATAGGAGCAAGGACAGTCGCTGGAGACCACAGCTGCTCCCCGAGCACAGAGCCCTGCTGACAGCCCCTCCATTCTTTCCTTCTTCCAGTGTGCTATGCCCAGTGTAGACACATGATTGGACACACACGGGCACACTATGTGCATATGAATGATGACATGCACAGGTGCGGCTCTGAAACTGAGGTAGAACAGAAGGCTGAGAGAGAAAGGCTAGCTAGAATCACAGCCAGGTGGACACTGGACCCCGCAGCCCCCTGCCCAGAAGTCCTTCCTTTCCTTTCCTCCCTTATTTATTTTTGTTTGCTTTTGGACTACACCTGGCAGTGCTCAGGGCTTACTCCTTGCTCTGTGCTCAGGGGTGACTCCTGGTGGGTCACAGAGAACCATATGGGGTGCTGGGGGTTGAATCCAGGCTGGCGACCTGCAAGGCAAGCCTACATGCTGTACTGTTGCTCTGATCCTCCTCTTTATTTTAACTATAGGTCACAGCTGCAGTGCTCAGAGGTCATTCCCTGCTGGGATCTCGGAGACCCGCAGTGTGGAGGTCACACCCAGGACTCCTGCCAGCACATGCTCCAGCCCATCCTGTGACTCCCAGTTCACTTGGCCTTTGTCCTCCAAACCCCAGGGCCTAAGGAACCAGACAGAGAAGCCTAAGAGCAAAGAGAAAACAGATCATTTCATTATTCTGTCTTTGCTTTTGAGTTGCTCTTGGCTTTGGGGCCACAATCAGCAGTGCTAGGGGGGATTGGTTCTTAGGAGTTGCTCCTAGTGGTGCTCTGGGGACCATGTGGTGATGGGGCTCAAACCTGTGGCCTCTAGCCTGCAAAGCATGTGCTCAGTCTATTGAGCTATCTCTCTGGCCCCTCACTTTTATTGAACAATTTAAAACCTCAGGCCACACCCAGCTGATGCTTTGGAGAGGGTCCTAAGATCTAACTGTGGGGATTAATATATTAGGCATGTCATCTACCACTTGAGTCATCGCTTCAGCCCCAGGACACATTTTATGACAGTTTCATGTACTCCTGTTTGCCACTCATGTCGGAGGGACAATCTAGGTCTCCAGCTCTGGTGACATGGGAAATGACAGGTGCTATGCCAACAGCTGGAGGCCAGGGAAGCCCTCTTTGCCTTCTGAGCCAAGGCAATGCTTCCAGAGTGGGTGAAATGGAAGCTGAGTTAGTTCGGCACCAACTCCCATTGTTCTGCATGCATCTAAGGTTAAGAATCTAGCTAGAGGGCCGAAGCGATAGCATAGCAGGTAGGGCATTTGCCTTGCACAAGGCCGACCTAGGTTCAATTCCAGCATCCCATATGGTCCCCTGACCACTGCCAGGAGTAATTCCTGAGTGCATGAGCCAGGAGTAACCCCTGTGCATCGCTGGGTGTGACCCAAAAAGAAAAAAAAAAGCTAGATCAATATAGACTGTTACTTGTGTATAATTAAACAATAAGCCTTGTTCCTAAAAAAATTTTAAAAACAAACAAAGGGCTGGAGAGATAGCACAGCAGGTAGGGCGTTTGCCTTGCATGCGGCCAACCCGGGTCCGATTCCCAGCATCCCATATGGTCCCCTGAGCACCGCCAGGAGTAACTCCTGAGTGCAGAGCCAGGAGTGACCCCTGTGCATCGCCTGGTGTGACCCAAAAAAGAAAAAAAAAAGAGAGAGATAGAGAGCATTTTGGGTGTTTGCCATGCACATGACTGACCTGGTTTCAATCCCTGGCATCCCATATGGTCCACTGAGCTCTGCCAGGAGTGATCCCTGAGTGCAAAGACAGGAGTACTCCCTGAGCACCACAGGGTGTGCCCCCTCATCAAAAAAATAAAAATGAAAAAGAAGATGAAAACAAAGGCCGGAGCGATAGTACAGTGTGTAGAGTGTCTGTTTTGTATGCGGCCGACCCAGGTTCAATCCATGGCATCCCATATGGTCACCTGAGCACCGCCAGGAGTAATTCCTGAGTGCAGAGCCAGGAATAACCCCTGTGCATCACTGAGTGTGACCCAAAAAGGAAAAAATTAAAAAGATGAAAACAGTGAACAGGTCAGAATGGAACAAAACAGCTAACCACAGGGTGACCATGACCTCACAACACATCCTAAACAAATGCAAGAGTCTCTGCTCTCATCGGGGGTGTCTGGGCTCAGCCCTTCTTCCTGAGGTCTCCAGCCTCTAACAAATACTACAGTAATGATGATCCTTCCCAGAATCCTTTCATGTCAATCTCAACAACAGTGCCATGAGGGGGAGGGAGTGGATCTGCATCTGATTCCAAGATGAGGAGATGGAGGCTCAGAGCGGTTAGCTGATGCACACACACTTGCACAGCTCGTAAGTGGCAAAGCAGGCCCAAGGCTCCCTTGGCTGCAGCAGGACAGACCCCCTGGATTTGCAGGGCTTCAGATGACTTGGAGAAAGTCCTATATTCCTGTCACCCAGAACACAAGGAAATAGGATCCAGGTGTGGCTTAAAAATAACTCAATGCTTTGGTTAACCACCCATTCCCTTTCTTTTGAGTGTAGGCTGGATTTCCGACAAATGAGGCAAGGCAGTATGGTGGAGTGTTGCTTTAGAGACGAGGTTCTAGAAAGTTCCAGTGACTGTGACTGGGGATGTGGCTCAGTAGTACAGCATTTACCTTGCATGTGTGAGGCCCTGGGTTTGAGCCCCAGCTCTGCGAAAATAAGTACACATTTGGCTCACAAGTAAAAGAAAAGGTCCTGTTTTTTTTTCCCCAAGTGCCCTTGGATCACTGCTCTGTGCAAAGTCAACTGCCGTGCTGTAAGGATACTCAAACGGTCCCAGAGCAGCCCACACTGTAAGAACTGTCGCTCTCAATCCACAGCCACGAGATAGCCCTCTTGAGGAGAAGCTCCTCCAGATACCTGCAGCCTACCCGTCACCTGGACTACACTTCTTCGAGAGACTCTGAGCCAGAACAGACCCTAGTAAGCTTCAAATCCCTAGGTTCACTCTGAGAGTGAATTCACGCTCATGGCTTTAGGAGCTGTCCTGAGTTAATGCATGTTCACTGCATGGAGGAGTGACCCCCAGCCCCCTCTCCCTAGACCGTGCAGCTGAAAGGGAGCCCCAAGGTCAGGTGCCAGCTCATGGTTAGAACCTTCTCGCCAGGCAAGCGTCCAGCACGCTGAGATGAGCTGGCTGCTTACTCACCTTTCCGGGTCCTGCAGGTGGAGCAGCAGGTGCATACTGTGGGGGGTGGGGGGAACCATCAGTGAAACTCCCTACACACAGGAACAGCCCCCATGAGGAGTGGGGATGGCAAGGTGGTCAGTAACAGGTCCTGGGAACATGCCCTGGCCTGGCTGGGAGGGGAGTTCTTGCATCCTGCAGTGCTTGGGATGGAGGAACATGGGGGTCGATGGGAAACAATTGGAGTGTGCCTGCCTAGAAATCCTCTCGGCCTGACCTCTGACCACCCCCCCCCACACACACACAAAGTGCTGCTTGTCAGGTGAGATGATGCAAAGCCCCCCTGAGCCTGTTCCACACATACCACTGGTCTTGGTATATGGCAGGAGCCCCCACGACAGGGAACACCAGGCTTCTTCTCTCTCCTGAGCCCCTACCTGAGGCCATGCATGTCAGTCATGGCATCTGACTGCAGCTTCCAGCTCAGCCTTTTTTTTTTCCCCACATTTTTTTTACATAAAACGATACATAGTATCTTATTCTTTCCTGTACTTTTGTCATTGGCCTTCTCTCTGTGTGTCCCCTGCAACTGCAGCCCCTGATGCCTCTGATGTTAAATGCGATCTGCGTGAATTAATCCATATTCCAACGTGAGTCCCTGGTTGAATGTGGCTTCCTGTTAAACAGCCCCCGCCAGGGTGTGCGAAGGATTCCGGGAGGCACTGAGGCTGAATGGGGGCCTCCGCGCCTCTGTGCAGAGGAGAAAGTTTGCATCTAAAGCCACAATGTCGGTTTCATCCGGGAAAAGGTTCCGAGGCCGAACCTGAGCCTGAGTGTGGTGACTAGCTGGGATTGTCTGCCTTGCTATGTCCTATCTACTGGTCCCTGTCAAGACAAGCGCCCAGACTTGGGGTGCTTTCCCCTATCCCACCCAGACCCCTAGTGTCCCAGGCCGACTAGGGGGGCAGGGAGGCTGGGTCTCCCTTACTAGGAGACCCCCAGGCCTCCTACTCAGGGGCTAGGGCAGCCCAGACCTCAGGTCACACTCAGGGCAGCGCTTAGCTCCTTCCTGGGAGGACTTTTCCTGGAGCCCCAGAACAACCTCCCTGCTGGGCAGCACCTCATCCTCTATCCCCCGGATACACAGTGGACAATAAGAACAGCCAGAGGCAGAGTGGGCTGCTCAGGGCTTATGGACACCACCTGCAGGGCCTGACGCCAGAACACCCTCACTGCACTGGGAACAGAGGGCCTGAACCCAAATGAAAGGCCCCCAGTGCCTTTCTACTTGGTGCTGAGCTGGGGACACATCAAAGGTCTCCTGTGGCTCTGAAAGCCCACCAGAGCCCCCTTTCCTCCTGAGTCCCTAAACCCACCCAAGGGAGGTTTCAGCAGGAGGTCTGGATTCTGCCTGGTGTGCAGTGGCGCTCGCAGGATCTACACAGTCATCAACCCTCACTCGTCCCCTCCTTGGTGAGTGAGGGCTGGCCAGTGATGGCTCTCCCCGACACCAGACATACCTTTGTCAGGGAACCCCCGTTCTCCTCCACAGAGAAGTGTGAGATCGCCCGCAGACAGGCCGAGACGGCCACAGTTATGTTCTCTGGGCCTCAAATGAGCCTCAGCACTGCCACATGGGGTTTTCTGTTTTGTTCTTTGGTCACACCCACCAGTGCCCAATGCTGACTCTTAGCTCTCAGCTTAGGGATCAATCCTGGCGGTGCTCAGTGACCATCTGAGGTAACAGGGATTGAACCCGGGTGAGCTGCTGCAAGGCAAGTGCCCGACTCACTGTACTATCACTCTGGCCCTTATGGTTTTTGTGTAAAAATGGCAGGATGTTTTTCAGGTGGCACACAGCCTGTGGTGTTCGGGGATGCCATCAGGGTCTTGAGTGGCAGTGCTGAGAGTCACATGGCACTGGGAACCAAACCCAGGACCTCACACATGCAAGAGCACATGTACATGTCTACCACTGGGGTCACCTTCTTGGCCCCAGACTGTTTCACTGGGACCCCACAACGACCCATAACCAGGTGTCACTATGGGCTCAGAAATGAATCTGAGGGCTGAGTGGGTCCCCAGCTCACCAGGACACAGAGCAAGAGGACACCTTCTCTCCCAGCAGCTTTTCTGCAGCTTCTGGCATGCGGGCCACAGGACCGGGCTGCTCACTGACCCCCACAGCATGGGGCCTGCACCCTGACCCCACAGGGCCTGGCCTGCTCTCTGGGACACAGGATTCCATGGCTGAGCAAGGTGAAAAGGGACCCAGTTCCTTCCCATAGAGACATCATGAGGAAAGAGCCCAGAGGGGCAGGAGCTATAGATGCTCCAGGGCCCTAAAGAGCTGACAGGTGCATGATCTGAGGGCAGCGGCCTGGGAGTCACCTGGAGTGAGCAGGTTATAGGAGAACCAGTAGGTGGCCTTGAGGGCAGTTCCACAGCCTTTTAGGAAAGGGGAGTGATTCCTTTGGCTTTTTGGGGTTCCAGGGAGTAGTCCTGATGAAGGGACTCTTTCCCTTGGGGCCACACTCTCCTGGGCTGGACCTCAGCCCTGTGGCCACCCCAGGACACGGCCCTGAAACTCACCCCTGAAGCGAACCGTCTTTGAGTTGGGCTGATGTGGGGCGATTCCCCTGGGGGGGGGGTCGTTATTCTCTGGCAGCCACTGCACTGCCTCTTTCATGTCAGAACAACCTCAGTGGCAGGAAGCACACCGAGACTCAGACTCTAGCGAGTGACCGAGCCCCCTCCCTGGTTAATGTCTCCTCTGCCACCAAGTGCTCCCCCAACTCCTGACCCCCAACCCACACCCCCACTTTCCCCATGGGGCGTGGGGCCAACGGGTCCTAAACGTGGCTGCAGCCCATCAGGATGAGCAGCTGGGGGTCACTACAGACCGCAGTCCCCTGCAGGAGGTCCACGGCTCTGACACTCTGACACAGGTCATCCTGGCAGCCTGGCTGTGCCAGGGGTGAGAGCCGGAGAGGTGGGGCATTACGGAGCCAGACCTGTGCGATGTCACCTCAGCGCCAGCATGGCCCTCGCATGTGGTAATTGAATGTATGTGGGACTGGGGGCTTGGGAATGGAAAGGGAATGTTGGGGTGGGGGACAGGAAAGGGAACTACAGGAGCCTCAGTAGGGAGAAGGGTAGGGAGGAGACTGAAGAGGGCCGCCCTCCTGGGAACATGGGGTATGGGGGAAGGGGACAAAGGAAGTGCTCCTGGCCCACGTGCAACTTCTGGGAAGTCCAAGTACTCCACCCACCCAGCCCAGGCCCCAGACAACGAGGAGGAGGAGGAGGCAGGACCCTTTAGAGGCCCCGTCAGAGCTCCCAGGCCAAGCTCTGCTCTGCCCCGTGGCTAGCACGGGATGCTAGGATGGGCCACGAGCCAGGCGGTGGGGCCGGCCTCTCAGCACCAAAACCAGGTCCATGAGGTGGCATAGGGGGAGAGAACAGTACCTACCTGAGCTGCCAGCGCTCTCAGAAGCACTCCTGGACATCTTCGGCTGGCCGTGTTTGCCGCCGGCTCGTCCGGTCCCCGATGGAGGGGGGCCTGAGGGAGCAGGAGCACCGTCTCCCCGGATGGTGGTGAGATCCTGCATGCTGAAGCTCCGGAGTCTCTCCGACAAGGCGCCCTGTCCCTGGGGTGGACAGAGGAGCACACGTCAACCAGGCACCTGTGGGGGCAGCTCAGGCCCCAGCGAGTGGGAACCAAGCCCCAGAGTGGGGCTAGGAACCAGGCTGCGTACTAGAAACAAAGGGAGAGCCACGGCCTGGGAGACTTCAGGGCCCATGTAGGGTTTAGCCACTGTCCTGGGCTCCACGGCTCCCTCTGATGAGGCCTGGAAAGATCCAGGGAGCATGCAAATACCAGCCACCCAATTTCTTTTTTTTTTTTTTCTTTTTTGAGTTACAACCAGTGATTCACAGGGGTTACTCCTGGCTCATGCACTCAGGAATTACTCCTGGAAGTGCTTGGGGGACTATATGGGATATTGGGAATCAAACCCCAGTTGGCCGCGTGCAAGGCAAACGCCCTACCCACTGTGCTATCGCTCCAGCCCCCAAATTTATTTTCTCTTGAGCATGTACGTGTGCTGTGTCTCAGCACGGGGTAAATGAAAATCCCCAATGACCTATATCTCTCAGTTGCCAGTGCCCATGCATCTGGTCAGAAAATCAAAACTGTATCATCATCGGCTTAGCTTTCATTCTTTTTAAAGGAAATGAAACATTTCCATATATTGTTATGGATTCTCTCATCTGCACAGTTTACAAGGTACATTCAGTTCTACCATCACATTTGAACTTCATAAAAATACCCAAAGGGCAATGAGTCAGGAAGGAAAAATAATTATTTTTTTTTTATTTTAAAAAAAGGGGGAAAAACCTGCTGACTCTAACCATTTTCTCTTCTAAGGGAGTCAGAGAATTCATCTTGGGAGAAATGGCTCTTTTGCTTAGGGAAGAAGGAGCTTAGCCGTGTGAGAGGGAGGGAAGGCTGTCTGGAGTGGACTGTGTCCGAGAGGGAGGGCAGCAAAGGCCGGTGCAGGGGTCGGGGAGAGGAATCCCCGAGGAGAGGGCCTGTGGAAGACGGGGTGACTGAGAAATGAGTTGAGGATGGGAGCAAGGGAGCACCCAAGCATGCAGAGACACTGGGGCTCTATGGGGTGGCAGGGGACGAGGAGAAGAAGAGGTTTCCCAGAGGTCTGGAGAATCTAGGGACAGCAAAGCAGAACAGATACTCAGGCCAACCAAGAGCACAAGTGGGTGAGAACAGCTGACCAGAGGGTTTGGGACTGGGGGTAAGAGTGTGGAAAAAGGACCATGCCAGTGGCGAAGAGGCATTCAGAGAGGGCAGAGGGTTGGGGAGAGATGACAGAAGGTTTCCCACTTTACTCAATAAAAAATAAAGTCATGAAAACAGAGCAAGAGAACACCACTTTTCACTGAAGTGGCCTGAGTGAAGAAGCCCGGCTTCTACAAGTGCAGAATGAGCTGTCACAAGGAAGGGAGCCAAGGACTTCGCAGGCGGGGGTAGGAGAAATGTCAGGGATCTGGCCCAAAGGGTTGGCGCCTAGGGCTCACATGCAGTAGCCCTGGATTTGATCCCCAGCACCCCCTGGAATGATCCCCAAGCACCAAGCCAAGAGTAGCCCCTGGACATCACTGGGTGTGTGCACCCCCCACCTAAACAAACAAACAAACAAACAAACAAACAAACAAAAAACTGCGCACACAAAAAGCATGAAAATAGAAGAAACATCGGAATAAAACAAAGGTACATTAAAAACTGAAGAATGCAAGTTCTCAACCTACTAGAGGTAAATAAACCATGTCAATAGGAAACTAACAACCCATACAGAAAAAGATCTAAACCATCAACTATATATCACTGGAATTATAAATCTGCACAGGGAAGTGTCTGGAGGCTATTGTGTGAAAGAAGAAATGAAAAAGTGAAAGTTGCCACAAGGCTCCCAACAGTGCTCTAAGCTCCTCTGAGGGGAAGGGCCAGGGGACTTCCCAGCCGCAACTGTGCAGTGACAGGTTGGTGGTTTCTGCAGAGAACACGAAGAAGGACCAGAGCCTAGGGTAATCCTCTCCTCTTGGTCTTGGTCAGTCAATGAGCTGTGATCAATTTACTTAGCTGAATTTTAGATGAGACTTAGAATTAAAGAGAAACCACATGACTAAAGAATAAAACTGGATTTTAAAGAGAGGGAGAGAAGGAAGAGTCTGACCATCGTAATAGAAGAATTTCATGGTAGATTAACACTCAGAAAAACTGCACTCTTATTCCTCCTCCTTCTCCATTTTATTCACTTATTCATTCCATTATTTATTAAGAGCTTCCTATGGAAAATAAAGGATGTGGGATATTATTAGAAAAATACCAAAACCAGAGTCCAATGTCTGACTCAACATAAGAATAGCACTGTAGCACTGTCCTCTCGTTGTTCATCGATTTGTTCGAGCAGGCATCAGTAATGTCTCCATTGTGAGACTTGTTACTGTTTTTGGCATATCAAATATGCCATGGGGAGCTTGCGAGGCTCTGCTGTGCAAGAAAGAAACTCTCGGTAGCTTGCCAGGCTCCTCGAGAGGGACAAAGGAATCGAACCTGGGTCGGCTGTGTGCAAGGCAAACGCTATCGCTCCAGCCCAACATAAGAATGGGAATGCATAAATAACCACGAAGAAAGGGTGCCACAGAAAATGAAGGCTAAGATCAACATTCGTGGGGCTGGGGCCATGACTCAGGGGCAGAAGCACTGTCTCATGTGGAGAAGGTCCTGCTTCTGTCCTGTGGTTGTTCTGTTGTACAGGGATAGAAGCAGGGGCTCACAGTTGCAAAGCTAGTGCCTGACCTCTGAGCTCCACTCCCAGCAAGGTCCTGGACCTGATCCCGAAACACAGACACACCACCTAAAGTCAGACTTACATTCAAATGCCAGTCCTGTCACTGGCAAACTCTAACCTTATTCCACCTCATCACCCTCATCTGTAAAAAATCATGCCTATGGCAGGAGGGTGGTGAGAATTCAATGAAATTATGCCCATAAGACAGTTACACAAAGACCAATGTACACTGAGCATTAAAAACAAATGTCCGCTCTGTGGCAGGGGAGATAGCTCAAAGAGATGGAGGCTTCCTTTGTCCACGGGTGCCCCACATGGATCTCTTGCTCTCAAGCACTGCTAGATATGGTCCCAGAGCAAAACCAAAAGTCAACTCTGATGATGGTGGTGGTGTTCCTGCTCCTGTTGCCTGTGACATACAAGTTGCTGTTAAACTTTCTAAAAAAATCACTTAGGTCTAGAGAGATAGGACAGCGAGTAGGCAGTAGGGCTCTTGCCTTGCATCCCTAGAACCCCATCTGGCCCCTCAAGCCTGCTAGGAGCGACCCCTGAGCACAGAGCCAGGAGTAAGCCCTGAGCACCACCAGGTATGGGAAAGAAAGAAAGGAGGAAAGGAAAAAGAGAAAAGGAAGGGAGGAAGGAGATGAAAGAAAAAAAGGAAGGAAGGAAGGAAGAAAGAAAGAAAGAAAGAAAGAAAGAAAGAAAGAGAGAGAGAAAGAGAGAGAGAGAGAAAGAAAGAAAGAAAGAAAGAAAGAAAGAAAGAAAGAAAGAAAGAAAGAAAGAAAACCAATAAGCAAGGTTATGTCCAAAAAAGATGGGAAGGGCTTCTTCAATTCAAAGCCCAAATTACTGATCAAGTACTAATTACATCAGCATATGTGCCAGGTCTGGCAAATTCTCAGCAAGGGCTCTGCGGGAAAGTGTCAGCAGACACGCCCATTTTAGCCATGCCCTCAAGTCCACTCCCAGAAGCCAGCCAGCTGGGCTCCAATATCACTAGCATCATGAAGATTGAAGTGGCAGAGGTTAGGAAAGAGAGGCGGATAATAATAGCTCAGAACCAACCCAGCCTTGTCTCAGAGGAAGTCGCAGTGGCCTGGAGACAAGGTTACTGAAAACAAATTACCCTGTTGCCGTCAAAACAAACGGCGGGACCGTTAATATCAATATGGCTCTCACGGCTACACCTCTGGGCCTTCAGCCTCTCTGACAAATCTCATTTCCTTTTACTGCCTAAGAACCCCAAGTCCTCCCAGCGACTCAGGCTGCGCTCTGGAGAAACCTCATTTTATTCTGGGCACAACCAAGAATTGTTTACTGGCAGTCTGCAACATGGGGTTCCCTATTTTAGGAAAATAATTCTGGACTCCCTAAGTTTGGAAAAACTTTAATATCATACTCTCCAAATTCAATGAGTCACATCCCCATGTTAAAAGTTTTTCAAAAATCCTTCAGTGTTTAAGGTTAACTCAGTTATTGAGTTACTGAGTTAAAGTTAATTCAAATGTGTCTGACAACAGTGGGCTATATTTCGAGCTGACCATCTCAAAGTCCTTCAGGGCAGGGGACATGGCTGAAAGGTTCCGTATATGCCATGTATGTGTGAGGCTCTGGGAACTGGAGGGAAGAGGGAGGGAAGCAAGGAAAGTCCTCTTTCATCCCATTTTTGAAATGGGAAATGAAAAACCAATTTCCAAAGCCTCCCTTGCAGGGGTTCACCTGATGCAGTTCTAGCCCATGGAAGATTAGGAGAGAGGTTCTAAAGTGCTGGAAGGGTTTTTGATGAAAGTATTTCCTCTTTCTTCTGAGCCCCTGATTTCTGCCTCTGGCTGAGACAGAATGGCCAGCATGTGCTAGGAGCCACTAGGGATACCTTGCAGAGTCTTGTTTGGTTTTGTTTTATTGGGGTGGGGTGGGGGGAGGTGCCGGTGCATGCACCCATTGGTTCTCAGGGATCCACCTGACTCAGTGTTCAGGGATCACTCTTGGTGGTGCTTGGGGGATCCTATACACTGCCAGAGGGACCAAAGTGGGATCAGCCACATGCAAGGTAAGTACCTTACCTCTGTACTGTCTCCCCAGTCCAGCACCCAGCCCCCTTCCCTGAGCTTCAATGTCACTCACCCACTCCAGAGGTCTGGAGAATCTGGGTACAGCAATCAGAGGAATCACAGCACCCACTTCCTCCTTATAAATGATTTTCATCCATTCCAGGACATAGTTTCTCATCTCTCAATCTGGGGTGGGTCTTACAATAGCTGTTGCCTCGACAACATTGT